TTTTATGCCGTCCGAACCGGCCGGCCGGACGCCTTTTGAACCGTCCGGTTCCGGCGGCCGGACGGGCTAAAAGCCGTCCGGTTTCGCCGGCCGGACGGTTTTATTTTTATTTTTTTTTATTTTTTTACTTTTTGAAAAAAAATGACAGGGGCAAAATTGTCCAAGGGGGACGGTAAGTAGTAATAGGGGGGGCGGTGAATAGTACTACCCTATTTCATTAGAAGAAATTACTTTTATGAGAATTATGTCCCATACTGACAGCTTTTTTTTGGCCTAGTAGCGTAGCCAGAAATATTTTCCACCACAGAATGCTAAAACCTATTGTTAGGGAATACAACTCAGTTTGACTCGTAAAAATTCAATTTTGACTCATTCATATAGTAATGAAAAATTAATTCATCAAACTGAACTTAATTGATATCACTCAATTTAATAAATAATTCGAGCCAAACTTGCTAATTTATTATACGAGTACAAGTTCGAATACGTCGTATTCGACTCAATTTGGCTTCACTAATATCATTACTGTTATGTGAAAATTCAAAGTATGATAATTTTTAAGTGTTTAGTTTAAATTACAAAATGAATGAAAAACAAATTATTAAAAATATGTCATGTTGTTTTAGTAAATCATAAAATATTACTGTCGCGTAATTTCTTCTTGCTTACTTAAATTTGACTTATAAAAATAATAAAAATTATTTCAAATATCACTATGAGATTAACGTTTTATTATTAGGCAGACCAATCCAATATACTTAAATGATGGAAGTCCAAATGCCATTTTATTGAATAGACAGGTTAACCTATCATACTCGTTATATGATTTTTACTTAAATTGTGGAATTTCAAATGTTGTTTCATTGAATATGCTACGCAGATTAATGAAATTAAATTATATATTTCACATATTCAAATCATTTATTTAAAGGTTAACAAGTAATTGATATATTTTATATATAAAGTAGTATAAATTAATCGTATTTTAAACCAAACATTAAAAATGAAAACAAAGAAGAAAAAATGACAAAGTAAGCTATAACCACAAAAAAGAAAATACATACAAAGTTTTGAGTCGTGTAAAAGAATATGTATAATTTTTTTTAATATAAAATATTTTTAAATTAGAAAAATATGGGCTAAAATATTTTTTTTACTACTACATACTTAGATAATACAAAAAATTAAGACCGGGCTAGAGCCCAGGTGAGCCACGCCTCTGCCTAGTAGAAACACACACGTCTTCTTTATATATAGCAAAAAACAGACTTCTCTTTCCTTTGGTGCTAACTTTATGAACAATTAAGGTTGCATTGGAAAAACAAAAAATATCTTGGTAAAAAAATTCAGGGACTATGATTAAATACAAAATTTAATTGCATCTATATTTATAAAGAAATAATTTTACTATCATCTCAATTTAAAATACATGAAAAAAATATAAATTATTATATAAAAATAATAAAAATCTTAGTCATTAATACACTATAAAATAATCATTTAATTATTTTCCATAAAATTTGAAAAAAATAGAATTAAGTATTACATAAAATAAATTTTATGCAATGTTATAAAATATTATTTGTCAATTTAATTAGATTATATAAAAAAGTGAATGTTATTATGTTATTTTAAATAGTAAATATAAAAATATTATAATTAAATATAATAAAATAATTTTGTATTTCATAAAGTTAGAAAATAATACATTTCTACGTAAATTCTAAATTATTAATTATATAGATTTAAAATACTTGAAAAATTAATAGTCGTGACACACTGACTCTATAAATATAAAATATAATTATAATACAATAAATTTTGTTTTGTTTTAAAAAAAAAATCAAATATATGAAGTTGTAAATAATATCAGTCTTATACATATCTACTTTAAAAATATAATTAAAAATATTTTTTTTTTGATAAATTTAGTGTAAAAATACGAGCACCATTTGAGTTAGTTATCACTTTGTTAGTTATATATTATTGTTGTATGTTCATCATGCATAATTTCAAAATGAAAATATAAACTATTCCAATTTTTATTTTACAAATACTAATATATTTAAGTACACATGTAGTACACGAGTATTATACTTACATACTAATAATTGGTTATTTAGGAGTGATTGGATATGAATTCTACTAGTAAAAAATTGATTTTTTTTTTAACTATAGTTAAGTTTGAAAAAAGGTGGTATAGTTAATTGTTAGTGGATATATTAAAATAATAATCAAAATAAAATAATTAAAATTGATTTGATGTAAAGGTAGGAGAAAATTATTGGAAGTGATAGTTAATTAAAATTATGTGAGTGGATGAATAGTGAATTAAAGTTGATGTGATGTGTAAGAATGATTAGTTGATAATATTTAATTATATTGATAATATTGAAAATAGTTGAGTTGAATTAAAGTTGAGTTAAGTTTGAGTTTTGATTAATTTTTTTACTGTACAATCTATATACAATCGCCCCCATAGGGAAGGGTGAGTTGAGCCTCCTTTTGCGTTTGTTAATTCAATTCTTTTTAATATAATGAGTCTAAAAAGAAAAAAAAAAATGACTTTGGGTAATACGAGATTCTACAGTCTCGTTACGGAACCACTATGATCTAATGGTTACCAATCTGACGAAATAGTTCCGTAACAGAATTATAGCATTTCCCAATATATGGTTTTTATAACTTATATGTATTGTATCAGCTTTCGCTTCAGTTCAGTTAACCAAACATTTATATTCAAACTGGAAAAAAAAAAACCGAAAGTTAGAAAAATACAAACCAAAAATCGAACAAAAAATTCGATTACGGTTTCAATCAAAACCGAAATTGGATCGGTTAACTAAATGTGCAGCTCTCCTCACTTCCCCACACGTGACTAGCGAGTTTCTAACTCCAACTGTTACATTTTTTCGCACCGTCACGAGCCCCCACGCCTAGCTGCACTTTTTCAGTTTCAGATTCGCCGACATCGGCGCCGCTGATCACCGCCGTATCACCTCCCTTGGATTTATAGTTTCATCTCTACGCCAGGGGACGGCATTTTCATTTCCTCCGTACTATCGTTTTTAGCTGCCGACAATTGTCACCTGAATCCTCCAAACGGCGACAAGGTTTGTCCGTGTGAAATAGTCTCCTCTTCCCCCAATTTTACCTACTAGTTGAAGATGGCACAGCGGCACCAAGGTTACCGCTGATCTTTTATAGCCGCAATCACCACCACCGTGAACCGTCTTCATCACCGAATCGTCGGTCCTCGTTATCCCTGCTCGAAAATAATGTGCGGTGCTTAAATCAGTTTTATGGTCTGAAAATATTTTTTGAGTTAAACTTCGAGTTTCTTTGTTAGGATTCTTTGCAAAGATAAGTAGGGTATGAACAATCTTGTAGAATTAAGAAAACGTTTTAGATTTCATTTATCTCATTGCCAACAATTGCCATATTCAAGAGATGATTCAGTATCAAATTCTTTGTCTAAGGGCGATGGTAGGCAACTTCTTGGCAATTTCGAAATTTAAATTGACTCGAAAGAAATTTCTTATTTACAAACGAACCTTCAGAGTACTTTACTAGTGCATTTTTGTAAGAAATTCACTTAATGTGTTGGGGGGTTGAGTTGCAGCTGTTTTTCTCACCATTTGGTTGTTTCTGCAATTCAATCTTGAACTTCCTCTGTTATTCTGCTTGAATATGAAAGGATTGTGTATTTGAAATAGGCTGAAACAATTCTTGAGGGTGTAAGGCGGTTTGTTGTTTAACTACTACTTTATTTGTTTTCATCTAATTATGTTTTAATGCTCTAGGTAGTGATCGGTTCATGATTCAATTTCTATGTGTGTTGTGGTAACTGGAAGCTATTGTACGCTGAAGACATTCTTGTTACTTTCTGGTGCCCAATATTTGTTCTCAATTGGTCAAGGTAAAGATAATTTGTCTTCTTACGTGGAAATTGAGTTAACAATCTTACTGCTTATGACATTTTCCCCAGCGTGCAACACTCATGTCTATTGCCAAAATTAATTCCTTGTTTTATGCATGCATTTTTGTTAGATGAACGTGTTCAGGGGTTGGGCTTGTGCTATAAAGAGATCAAGATGTAGCATTCCTCAATATTATTCAAAAATAGAAAAGGATCAAAATGGGGTTCTATATGCTGGAGGATACCCTTTGGAAAAAATCACGTCTAAGTCATCAAGTCCTTTAACAGGATCTGCGTTGGGGCGTAATGTTACATCTCGACGGTATGTGCATAGTGCGCAAAATGATTCAGACCTGAGTCGAGATTTCTTTGTACGACTCTGGGTTGCTGATAAAAAGAAGCCAAAATCTCATGTAAAAGGAAGGCATAAAGTTCTTAGATCCAGGGGCAGCAGTGAACAATTTGTTGATGGACGAACTCTGTATGGAATTATTGAAAGATCTTTTTCAGGTGCATCAGTTGTAAATGAGAAGTATGGGAAAATTAAGTCAAATCTGAAACAACCACCTACTAGTCAATCTGTCACTGGTACACTGGAACCAATGTCCTTGGAAGAGGTGAAGTTACCTGTGGCTCTCAGTTATTCAGTAGGATATAGCTGTGAGCTAGTTTCGTTGTAGCTGCTAACGTAGGTTGATTCGGGGGATAAAGCATCACATTTTTTATGTCTACTGGAAGCCTGATTGTCCTATTCTGCTAGAACTTTTACCTCTTCGTTTGTTCTCCTATTTTATTTTTTCCTTCATTTTTTAATAAGAGAATGACACATCTTACTATGATTATAGGAATTTACTTTTAATATCATATTTTGTAGAATCATCAAAGGCTTTCCTTGGCCTTGGTAAATTAGAACGATGAACTTATTTTGTGATAGAAGCATAGAGAAACTAGGACTGAGAGACCATATTTTATGTTGCTCTTTCATTCTCACCCGTAAACGGTTGTTAATATCTAGAGCTTGAAAGTGGAATGAGTAATTGATTAGAGAATTGTTTCCTGACTTTTGCAATTTGTTAGGCCAGCTATATTGATGATGCAGTTTCCCTCTCCTCTGAGACTATTGTTTATATACTTTTCTTACTTTGTACTTAGTTAATGCAATATTTATTGTGATATTTCATATTGTTTGTTTATTTGTTTTGCTGGTATGATTTATCGACTTTTTCACAGTACAAAGTTTAGTATAATAGAATTGGACTCGTGTTTGTAATAAAACATTAGCCAACTATTTCAGCATTTGCAAATGATTCTATGATACAAGAGCTGAGGTATATACGTTAAAGTTGAAGGAAACATATGGATAGCTAGGTAATGAATAGCTCATTTTCTTTGATATGAAAGGAACTTACAATTTTTGTGCATATTGAGATCTGGAAGAAACTTATGGGATTTTTATGCATGTCAATTATATCTATTAATTTATACGCTAATATCGTTATGACAACGGCTAATATTAGTAGTTATTGCTAGCCAAACATCATGATGCTTTCTATTGAAAATTTTCTTATCTTGAAATTTATTTCAGTCCAAGGTTGCCCCCCTTCTTGCAAGATCTAATCTGCTTATAACCAGGGATATAGAATGGGCCAACTTGGTTCTTGGTTTTGAGCAGGTAAGTTTTAAGCTTTGTTAATCCGTCCGAACTAGTTTTCAGCAAATATTTCTATTCCTTCCATGAACCACAATCTCTAGGATGTACACATATTTTTGAGATCATTATTGTACTATGTAAATGAAGAAAAAGCACTGTTTTAAGTATCTTGAAAATTGTACAACTCTTCAACTCCATTAATAGCTCTTTGTTCTCTTTGTTGATTGTCTGAAATATATCTTCTTATATTCCAATTCATATGGGTTTATCTTTATTGGTGAATTTATTGCCCTTTCTTGCAATTGCAGGAAAATCGGTATGCGATAGTTGATGCCTGCTACCCACAAGCAGTATGTGATTCTTCTTCCTGGCCATAGTCCTATGGTCTTTCTCCATTAACTGCTTTTAAACAAAATGAAATAGTACTGCAGTGAGTAGCAATAGCTTACTTTAATGTTATTTTGCCAGCCTGTAGGCTTTATTCGGGAGCAGAGTAATCTGATTGCAAGACAGGTAACATAATCTCTCATTTCCTAGATTGTGGTGTGCTTTTGAATGCATTACACTTTTAGTTTTGTGTCTTTCATCTTGATGCAGTATTTTGTTACTTCCTTACATACCTCTAAAGAGCATTTATTAATTTTTTTTTTTTGTAAATGTCATTGTCGTTTACTTAGTTTCAGTATCATTGTTATGATGATTTGGTTTAAGGACACTCTTACTCCAAGAATTTCTTGTTTGGTGGCTAAGGAAAAAATAAACTCTAGGTTATAGGAGGTTTTATGCACTCAAAAGTTATTCTGTAAATTCTTGTTTTGATCTATGTAGTAAACTAAAATGTGGATCCTCTTGTTTTTGGATATTTGCATAAAAAATTAAGAAAGCAAATGGCACATGGAAAAAGTGGGTAAAAAACACTCTGGTCTACAAACTATTGCTATTTTGCGCATTTCAGAGCTAAACTTATTTCCCAATACATTGCCATCTAAAAATTCTTAACTACAGTGGTGTGAACCATATCACCTGGGTCACCTTGATTGTGGAAACTTTTCTCAGTGTTCAGGCGTATAAATGGCATGTTTCTTATTTGTGCACTTCTTATTTGATTAATGTTGCTTTATGTGGGAAAAATAGTAAACTGGCCACCTTGATTATGGAAACTTTTCTCAGTGTTCGGCCGCATAAATGGCATATTTCTTATTTGTGCACTACTTAATTGATTAATGTTTACTGACTTTCACTATTAGCCCCAAAAATAAAAGAACCCGGAGTGACCCTAAAAAGTGCACAGATAGAGGTGTGACATGCATGCGAACAAATCCTAGTAAAACAAATGGGGTGCTTTAGATGATTACATGTGAAATCCATGTGGTTCATATAATAATAATATAACAGAAAGGTTTGTTTGTCCATTGCAAATGGAGCTGGAAGAGTCATTGTTGACAATTATCCTGGCATAGTGCTAATAATGGACTAGATCGAAATGGCTCAATTAAATTCCAGTGCTTCTTGTATTAGTGAAGTTTCTAGAAAAAAAAATATATCAAACGGCGCAATGCACCTTGGGTCGCTACGGAAACAGCCTCCTTGTATAATTACAAGGGTAAGGTCTGCGTACAACTGATCCCCCAGACCCCAACCTGTTGGGAATATACTGGGTATGTTGTTGTTGTTGTAACAGAAAGGTTTGTTTCCTATAGTGCCAAAACCACCATACTTTAGGTGCCAAAGTGTTTCTTATCATATCATATATAAGAAAACAAATTGATTTCTCGGTAGTTGGCAGATTATAGTCTGCGTAAGACATTTGACCATGAACTTAGCTGCTGCCCTTCTGTTATATTTGTGCAATTCTATGTTTGGGGAATGAACTGTCATTTTCATTTTTCTGTTAGCTTTTATTTCCCCTTTTCTTTTCTGCATAGTCTTCTTGCTTTGTTGGATGAGATGATTATTCATATGCTTTCTGCAGTTGCTTCGGCTAAGACGCCCGTTTATAGCATCCATAACTGATGGATTAGGTAACGAACTCTTTCGGGTAAGAACTTCTACACGCTGTTTATCCAATACAAGCATACATTTGATGTGATGTCGGTGCAATTGGTTTACCTTTGTAAAACTGCTTCCAAGCAGGTTCGGAGGCCCTTTTGGTGGATCACCAGTTCAATCTATGCAGAGATAAATGGACAAGTATGATGGTTATAAAATTTCTTGGCTGTTACCTAATGTTGACCCTGGCACACTATTGGTGCGTCGGGATATTATTTATTCACTTTGTTTATTATATCTTGCCTATTTTTTTTTATCAGGAAGTTGGTGTTGTTCACAGAAGATGGCATCTCTGGAAAAGAATTTATGATTTGTACTTGGGGTAATATCCTTAGGAGTCAACATTTTTCTGTCTATGCAATCCATCATTGGTAAAATGACAGTATTTTTATTTTACAAAATCATTGACTTTGCAATTTCATTATGTGAAATAAGGATACAAAAATATTATTGAAGGTATAAATGCTATTACCTTTTTCTCACTGGAGTATGGAATCTAGTTATCTGGCCATATATGTTACTCTGCACTTTCACTCTTGTTCTGGGCATTTTTCTCAATCATGGAAATTATTTAATCTTGGTTCTTTGAGATACTATTTGTAGTAATCTAATACTCGGTGGTAGGACAATCTACTTCTAATTGTTCAGTATGTATATATATGTTCTACAGAATATCACCGAGTATGGTTTTTGCATTCTTACTTAGATGTTTGCGGTCTTTCTTGTCTTAGGAATACACAATTTGCAGTGGTAGAAAACCCTGGCTTCTGGAACTGGACTTTCACATTGAAGGACATCGATGGAAACGTGTTGGCTGAAATAGATCGTGACTGGAGGGGTTTTGGATTTGAGGTTTTTGCTATATACTTATCATTAATTTTTTTTTGAGGAAAATGGAATCTGCAGATCCCTTTCATATTAAGTTGTTTATATTTGTGTGCTGCAGCTTTTTACTGATGCTGGTCAGTATGTGATTCGATTCGGGAGTGCCGACTCAGTTGTTGGGCCTGCTCCAGGGGTAATTCAACCGCATAGGACCTCAGCTTTATATATTTTTTTCAAACATAAATTACTGGGTTTATAATTCCATATTTTGCAGGTACAAGAGTTGAATGTAACCCGTTCGTTAACTCTGTCCGAGAGGGCAGTAGCTGTTGCACTTGCTGTTTCACTTGATAATGACTACTTCTCCAGACACGGGGGCTGGTGAGATGCTTTGTTACTTGATATGCCTCTCACTAGTTATTGAAAATAGCAATATGAGCTTTTCTATCTGTTATTACCTACTATGTTCTTACTTTCAGTAAATTTATGTTGAAATATGATAAACTACACCACTCATTATAACAACTGTATTACAAGTTATTCTAGTCGTCTCTTTCGTGTCATTAGACTATAGATACCTTGGCTTCTGTTTCCTCAATGGTCCCACCCTTTTCACATTGGCTGTAAAAATAGTTTGGTTATTTGAAGTACTGTCATTAGATGACACAACCTGCATTGTGATGTGATGGTCACTCATTTTATTTTGTGGGTCTTTCTATATAAATATCATCATGCGATTTCCACCATTTTTAAAATATATATTTCTGGTTGTGGGAAAACTCTTAAAATCTCTCTANTTTTTTTTTTTTTTTTTTTTTTGTGTGTGTGTGTGTGAATGTGTGTTTAATTTTACGCTACACGAGCACTTGCTGCAGTCAGATGAATGTTAGTAGACTAATGATTCTGTTCTCATCAGGGGATTTCCCATCATGGTGGTTGATGATTGAGACTGGCCAACAAGAGTGTTTTCTGACTGTTGAGAATCTTTAGACTAATTTCGCAGAAGCTCGAGTATTTGTCTCTTTCGGATCGAACGAAAGAAATAAAGAAAAAAAAGAGTGTAACTATCAATTAGTGCAGAATCTTGACCGGATGTTTTGCTTGCATTTTATTTGCTGCCTACAATCATAGAGCCCCGAAATTGTTTAAAATTGTAAGCTTGGAATTATGAGGGGTAATCGTTTTGAATGCTATGAGATTTGGTAACTCTATTGTAATGGGCCTTTCTGTAGTTTCTTGAGGCTGATATTGGCCTATTGGATGAATGGTGAGAAAATAATGGTCCTGATGTGAATTGTGATAGAGAATCTGTTGCAGGCCTTTGTGATTGATTAAAATCAAAATAATCAACACTGTATATCTCAATAATACCTTTTTGTTAGTAGGTTTCTGAAAATTTTAAGAAGAAAATGGTGGCAAATTATTAGTATCATAGAATGTTGTTAGTCAGAGCTAATTTTTAAGCATTTATATATATATTTTTTTTTTGTTAATTATATATACTTTCACAGCCCAACAGTTAAAATTGTGTATCTGCTAGATTGTTTACATGTATACTAGGTACTGGTAGGGGAAACTTTAGCAGAGAGCATATTGTTAGTATGAACTGAAAGATGAAATGATTTACCTTTTCATTGAAGAAAAAGTTTTTCCACAATTAGTTTCATAATCTTCCTTTTTATACTTCAAAATCAAATATTAAGAGTTTGAAAAATTTTATGTTTCCCAGGAGAAGGTTGTTTAACCTAGAACATGTACTGTGACTTTCCTCTAAAGCACACTATTAGAAACACAAAAGGATAAAATTGCCAATTGTGTATATTTATGTTCTGGCAGATTTCTCAATATAAGAAATACAATATATATTTATGGCATTTGTATTGAAGTTGTTATTTTTTGTCAAAATGGTTTTCATTATTGCCTTTTCACCTGTATCCGATGACAAATTTTACCACAAAAGGGAATAAAGGTGCAAGGGTCATCAAATCCACTAATGCCTTTTGACTAAAGATATTGACCAAAATCAATATTCCTTCTGATGCCTAGTATTACTTATTGCTTGCAAGTTCTGTAACATATTTAGTCATTTACACACCATGACACCAAATATATCACACTTCATTATAGATAAATATATCATACACCATTATATTTGAATGAAATGTGACAATTTTGTGGGAAAATGAGACATTTTCTTATCTTTAAAGTATGTATATGTTGACAGTCTTGAATTTCTATAAACTCAATCTTTGAATGGTTGCCATGCAAACTGACTTCAATTTTTTCTTCACACTTCCACTTTTGGACTCTCTCTCAAACAGACATTAAATTCTATATGTGCTGTAAAATGAAAGGCAACCCCATAAGCAAGCATAATGGCTGTTCCCCTTAAAAAAAGCACAAGCAAAAAGATGACTTTTTTTTATTTTCAATTAATATTTACTTTGTCACCCATTCAATGGGTGCCACCATTACTGTTGACAGTGTATAAAGAAAGAAGAGTCCGTGAGAAGAACTTAAAAATGACCAATTTTCATCATTCCTTTTGCATCCCCTCTACAGAAACTAATTAATATCACTTTTTTTTAATTTCCTGTTCTTGCTTCACATTCTTGAGGTCCCATGCAAGAACAACTTTTTATGTGGTAGAGGCAAAAAAAAAAAAGTAGGAGACTAGTTAATTTGAGGTTGTCATATAGAAATTTTATATATGGGTCTAATGGTATACTCTACTAATAAATATATTTAATTTCATACTCGAATTCCATTTAAAATACAATAAAAATAAAATACATGACATTTAATAATATAAGTATGCATATTTTTTTTTTATTAAAAAACTGTAATTACCTAACAATTACATAACCTAACCGCATACGCGTTTACATAATTAAGTTCCCATGTCTTGTGATATGTTCGTAGCTAGAGCATTTTTAGATATCGAGACTTTTTATTGAAAAGATAAAAGTGGTTAAGTATTGGAATAAAATAAAATGATGGAGCTTATAAAATGCTCAAATTGATTTGTGACTTCATATACACAAAAAAATGTTAAACGGTAAGGACAATGTCTGTGATATGACGGTATAAAAATCGATGCAGACAGTGCCTTTACCGACAAGATTGAATTTGTTTGTAAAATAAACATAAGTACTTATATTCCATACAAATAGTTTGGTATAATTTCGATGTTTCGCCATACACTATAAAACAGAATTATAGCAACCTATCTAGGAGTTTATTCAATAATTGTGCAGGTGAAAAACATGAGACCAATTGAATTGCTATTTCATTTTAGAAACTTTGATTTGTGTAGAGAAAATATGCAGCTATGGATATATTAGACTTGATATTCATTTATCAAAATCATAAACTTCTATCATCTAGTCAAAAGGTCTACATTAATTTGTACCTAAATATTTTTTTTTTTTNGAGAACAATAACCATTAATCTGCATTCTCCTATTTGTGATGAATGTAATATGACGGTCTTTGCTGGTCAATCTCTACGATCTAAACATTTTTCTTAAAAGAAAAACAAAATAAAGGAAATAAAAATGGATTTTCAGCTTTGTTAGGTGCGGCAATAAGACACATCAACTCACCTAAAAAGTGTAATTGGTTAACAACCTCAATCAACCACCATGAACATTTATTATTCCATTTACTCAACTTGAGCTTTCACCATAACTACCATTATTATTAAAATATAATAAGCAATTGATCAATCATACAATGAAATAATCTTTGCAGTACAACTTAAGACAAGCTATAAAGATGCCATCACAGTTAAGAGCAATAGTGTATGCTGTAGGCAATATACTAATATTGCACTTAAACATATCATAAAGTATAAATATAAAATACACATGTAAAAAAAAAAAANTTTTTTTTTTTTAACGTGGCAATAGTTTGTTGGATTAAAATCATGAATATAGTTAGTAGCTAAAATGAACCATATAAATTTTTTCTATTACTCTATATGTGTAATCATGATAATAATATATGGTCTTTGAACAATGATGCTAGTTTTGGTAGGTGTCACTTTTGGGTGAGGTATACTATAAGCTTCCAAGCAAAAACATGATATAATGGATTTTTTAAAGAATTCTAAGCCCCCTTCTATTCCTATGTGGGAAATGTAATAAGTTGAGCTATAAACGTTGTTGACTTTTGACAACCATTCTCTACCTTCCAATCCATAATATTGTTTTAAAGGTTATCTTACACCATTCTCTTAAAATAACTCACAAGATGCTCTATAATTTACCTATAACACCTTTCAATCCAAGAAAATATTGCTTTAAAGGTTATCTTACACCATTCTGTTAAAATAACTCACAAGACACTACAATTTACATATCACACCACTATAGTTTGTAGAAGATCTAATGATTAGGTAGTTATACTTATTCAATAGATATATAAAACAACACGTATAAAGTTTTGTGATAAAACAGTAAGGATGTTGTTAGATAAATTTAACGGTTAAACAATCATAATTTTTCAACAAATATGCATAACTTATATAAAAATGTCATAATTTAAAAGATCTCATAAATAAAAAAATATGACATTTATAACACGAATACGTATCCGGAGCGAGCTTTCGTACAGAAGGGTCAAGGGAAGTGGAGTGCCACATCGCCAAGTCCCACGTGTCTTGACCTGTTAACCGGGGGCAACCGATGAGGGACGGTCATAATCAAGTTTACAAGTCATTTTCAGATGTAATTGAAGGAAAAGCGTTCCGAGCCAGTTGTTTAATAAGGGCCAGAGCAAGAAAGAGGATCTGTCCAGCTGATATTGATTAGTGAACGTGCCCTTTCATGCTCATAACTTCCCTCTAGATTTAGCTGCTATTGAAGCTATAACAAATGGATAAGACTCGGTCTTACCCAAGTCGGCTTACAAAGTTGATTATGAGATGATCAAGTACTTTCTGGGTCGTCTCAGACTTTCCGATTACTATCTTATCTCCAAAATAATTGGAGATAGACATACAAAAGGTTTACTTGTTACTAATTTAGTCTAGTCTATCTTTTTTCTTTAGATCCCTTGTTGCGAAATTAGTACTAAATTGATTGAAAACCAGAGTTCTTCTATTCTATTTTTTTTAGGATTTATTAATTGAATGAAATTGGGATAGGGGCGGTTTGGATTAATGTAGATAGGGCTGCTCTTTTTCTCGAAAGTAGGGGTGTGCTCTCCAAAGAGCAACTCTTCTCAAAATCTCACTCAAAAGGTGCTGAGTTGGAATCTTTGTTAACAAAATATATAGGGTCGACCCAACAACGGGTAGACTCCCTAACACAAAAATTTGTGACAATAAATTTTTGTTTGATTAATTCTACTTAAAATTACACATAAATGCAGGAACATGCTTTCCAAGACCTCAAAAGCTCCTAAAATAAGTTAAAAAAATGCAAAATATTTTTTTCCATGACATCATGCAATAAATAATCATTTAATACACGAACGACTTTATTTTATTTTACTTTTTTCATTTTAAATTATTTATTTGATTTTTCAAATACCAAAATTTTCTCCCAAAACTTGACCCGCGTCTTCCACTTTCAGAATTGCCTCTCTCCTCAAAGATGCTCTCTTTCTCCTCCACCAACCACCACCGCTGACGGCGGCGCAACCGCCAAAGATCCAGTTTTTCACAGCTGCCCACTTACTAATTCGCCAAACCCTCCACCATGGGAAACTGCAACGCCTGCATAAGGCCTTCAGAAAAAAGCGAAGCCGCCGCTTCAAAACCCCAAACCCCCAAACACCGCAAAAAACTGAACGAGCGATACCCCAACCCCTACGCCCAATCCCCGACTCCGATACGCGTCCTCAAGGATTTCATCCCCCGGACGAGAATCTCCGACAAGTACATCCTCGGCCGCGAGCTCGGGCGAGGGGAATTCGGGGTGACGTACCTCTGCACCGACCGGGAGACGCGCGAGGCCCTCGCTTGCAAGTCGATCTCCAAGAAGAAGCTCCGCACGGCGGTGGACGTCGAGGACGTCCGCCGTGAGGTGGCCATCATGGCGAGCCTGCCGGACCACCCGAACGTCGTGAAGCTGCGGGCCACCTACGAGGACAACGAGGCGGTTCACTTGGTCATGGAGCTGTGCGAGGGAGGAGAGCTTTTCGACAGGATAGTGGCGCGTGGGCACTACAGCGAGAGGGCGGCGGCTGCAGTGGCGAAGACGGTGGCGGAGGTGGTGAGGATGTGTCACCAGCACGGGGTTATGCATCGGGACTTGAAGCCGGAGAATTTCCTGTTTGCGAACAAGAAGGAGAATTCGGCCCTCAAGGCGATTGATTTTGGGCTGTCAGTGTTTTTCAAGCCTGGTTAGTGGAATTTGTTCATTGGGATTTGGATTATAAAGTTAATTTGTGTATGTGATTGTTTTATCCTCTTCATGTTCTTTGTTCTTAGTTGTATTTTCACTTTATCCTTTTATCTTCTTGCTGGTTCTGTTTGCTTTTCTGAGCTGGAAATTGTTTATCTTCAATGTCCTTCATAGTCTATTATACTCCAGCTTATTTTATTTATTTATTTATTTTTAACTCAACTCGTTAGATATTGTGTTTTAGTTATGTTTTGGGTGTGATCAAAATATATTTTCTAATCAGGTGAAAGATTTTCTGAGATCGTGGGGAGTCCTTACTATATGGCACCAGAGGTTCTGAAAAGAAATTATGGACCTGAAGTCGACATTTGGAGTGCCGGTGTGATTCTTTATATTTTGTTATGTGGGGTTCCTCCCTTCTGGGCTGGTAAATTATTTTTGGTTTTCATCTTCGCTTCTTGAATTGTATCTCATTGGGATTTTTTACAATTTCATTAAAACGGATTAATTTCCATTGCAATGTGCTTCAGAAACTGAGCAAGGTGTTGCTCTAGCAATTTTAAGGGGAGCAATTGATTTCAAGAGGGAACCATGGCCTCAAGTTTCAGATAGTGCAAAAAGTCTCGTTAGGCAGATGTTAGAGCCGGACCCCAAAAGGCGTTTGACAGCCCAGCAAGTGCTTGGTGAGGTTTCCTTTATTTTTATGTACTCTGTAAAGTATTGATTAAAAGTATATTGCTGCATGTGACTACTTTTTCTTGCAAAATGATGATGGGCAACAAGCGGAGGATAGAAAAGGATGCCTCAAGGCATGCAAACTTGCAAAGTTCTTGCCCTTTTGTAATATGGTAGCTTTTTTAGACTTTTTGACATTTGGAATGCTCGCACAGCATTCCATTCAAATGCTCATTTTAGGTATAAGGACACAGATAACAAGTTTTCAGATTTAGTTTGAGTTTTGGTGGTGTTGGAGGATCCGATATGTGTGTCTTATTGAAGATGAAGTTGTTTTTATGGTATGGATGTTTGAAAAACAGCAGAAAAATGCATTGAGACGATGGCAAAGAGTGTGTCTGGCATGGGGCCATACACTATGCCATATGCTTTTGCTCCCAAAAAATGCCTGGAGGCATAAGGTGTTAACTATATATTAAAGGTCTAACTAGTATGTTATTTAAACATCTAAAAACTAAAAGCTAAAACATGTCTTTGGTAGTATGAAAATCCAAAGATTTGAGTTGACAAATGATGCTGTAATCAATAAACCTAGGCAGAAACCATCAGACTAGAATTGCAAAATAACTTTCTCTCGGTTAATTCTAGGTACCTTTGTCTTTCTTTTATTTGTTTTCTGATTTCTCCATTCTCATTTTTGTTTCTACAAATCTCTTTAAACTTTGGATTTTCAATGAACTGTTAATTTATGGATTGCTATGTTTGTTCTTTATCCCATGGCAACCCATTTGGGTACTTGTTCTTGTTTTCTAAAACTATAATATGAAAACAATTTCAGCATACACATTGGGTCTAGACCTGGCCCCGATGCCTTTGAAACACTAAGCAGATGAAAATAATTAATTAAACCACATCCTTCCTCGATAAATGATAGTACACCATGAATGAAAGTTAAGTCGTGATCTTTCTTAAACATGTTTATTTATACAGCAGCCATAACGTGTTTTTTCCATTCCTCTTTTAGATCACCCATGGATACAAAATGCAAAGAAGGCATCAAATGTTCCCCTAGGAGATATTGTGAGGGCCAGACTCAAGCAGTTTTCTGTGATGAATAGATTCAAAAAGAAAGCACTACGAGTAAGCATCTCGTAATTTTTCTAAGAATTTATCGTTAGGATCCCCTGCCAGTATACTTAAAAAGAATACACGATTCCATTTGGTTGTCTAATTTTTATTTTTTCTTTGAACACTGATCAGGTGATAGCAGAACATCTATCAGTTGAAGAGGTAGAAGTAATTCGAGATATGTTTGCACTAATGGATACTGACAATGACGGGAAAGTTACATATGAAGAACTAAAAGACGGTCTAAGGAAAGTGGGTTCCCAGCTGGCCGAGCCCGAGATAAAACTTCTAATGGATGTGGTAATTACTAATTCCTTCTTGCTGATTTTACTGCATTATATGTTTCAACTCAGTTGCTGGTACCATGTGGAAACTCATCTTTTCCTGTGCTCTTTTTCTTTTTCTCCATTTTGGTTCCACTTATTGTAACTACTACATTTTATTATTCAGAAAATTTTCCTTTTTTATTTTTTTTTGGAATTTCTTATCACATTTTATTTCTATAAAAACTGAAATGTTTTGGGTTCATGATTCATTTATCTTTTGTTGAAAATCCATTTAAAATCAAGAAGCATGATTGCTGGTTTTTGAAAATCCTAATGGACTATATGTTAAACAGGCTGATGTGGATGGAAATGGAGTTTTGGACTATGGAGAGTTTGTTGCAGTCACCATTCACTTACAGAGGATGGAGAACGACGAGCATATCCGAAGAGCATTTACGTTCTTCGACAAAAACAAAAACGGGTACATCGAGCTCAATGAGCTTCGAGAAGCTTTGGAAGATGAATCGGGTGAAGCCGATATTGATGTTGTTAATGACATTATGCGGGAAGTCGACACAGACAAGGTAGACTCGAACAAAAATTACCCCTTAATTAGGTTTTGCTTGATTACCAAAAGTTTCATATATCTTCTTGTATTACAAATCACCCCTCTTTTAAAAGATTCAATTTTTATTTCTAATTTATAAAGATAACTGGGTTTTTCTTGAGTTAGGCTCAAAATCAAGGCCACTTTTGCAGTTCTCTAAACTATAAGCTTCCTGTTAGCCCAAAATAAATGTTTGAATGTGTACTTAGTGGCTTATTATAAAAAGAACTTGCTTCTTTCAGGATGGTCAAATTAGTTACGATGAATTTGTGGCGATGATGAAAACTGGAACGGACTGGAGAAAAGCATCTCGACAGTATTCAAGAGAGAGGTTCAAGAGTTTGAGCCTTAATCTAATGAAAGATGGCTCTTTGCAGCTCCAAGATGGGTTTACTGGTCAAACTGTTGTGGTTTGAAGGGATTTTCCTTCCCTTTCCTTTTGTTCTCTTTTTTCAAATGCCTAATTAATATTACTGTCTATATCGGCTTCATGTTCATCCTCCAACACTCAGCTGAGGAATTTATATCGGCCTTTTAATCCAACAAAGAACGGGATTTTCTGAGGTGAATGGTTTTTTCATGTTTTAGTTTTTGTTTGATAGAATATAATGTAATAGGTAATTAAAATTAGGTGTTCATGTCTTGTGTGCATCCTCTTTGTGTATTTTCTGATGTCTCTATTTGATCTTGTGTTTGTGTATATGTGCTTTTCTTGACCCAGCCCAGAGAACTTAGTTGAATTTGTTGATTGAAATGGAAATATTCTTATGTTATTTGTGTGTGTGTGTGTGTGTGTGTGTGAGTGTGTTTTTCTTCAATCAAAGACTGCAATTGCATGTTATATTCCCCTGCAGTTTCAACAGCATGAGCTTTAAATTTGTTTGTGGTATAAATTGATCGTAGATACAAAGTTATGCACTACTATTATGGAAAGAGATGCACATATATTATAAATTTTAGAATTTTAAGGATATAAGTGATAGTATATTTACATTATGAAACTTAAGCATTTCTAGTTAATTAAGACGAAAGTTAAGTTTTCAATTGTATACAAACAAAACATATAAATGATAAAAATATGAAATGTTGTATAATCTATAACTAGTTCGTATTCAATGCGATGCATGGATAAATAACTACATTATAAGTCAAATGTTGAATTACATGTTTACAGTATATTAATTTAAGATAAAATAACCTGTCATCAGTAAAATTGAGGACTGTATATTAATTTAATAATATTATTTAAAATAAAAATACCGGTCATCATTATGATAACTGTAATTTAATTTAAATAAAATTACCATGATCATTGGGAGGAGTCATGTAAACTTCTCAACTTCATTAATATGATTAAATAAAAATATTAAAATAGATGTTATTTCTGAAAAACACGTGGAAAACACCTGGAATTATATATATTCCCTCCATTTTGAAATATAAGGCGCATAAAGATTTCTCAATTTTTTTGACATATAAGGCGCGCTAAAAAATCAAGACAAATTTTTGTATTTTTTTTCCAAATATACCCTCATTGTGTTGAAATTAAGGAAGTGTGGAGTGGTTGTGATTAGAGTAAATAAGGTTAATTTAGTCAATTTATTCATTAATTAATGTCTCCTTAATATTTGTGCAATAACTTTAAATGCCTTATATTTCAAAATGGAGGAAGTACTATTTGTGAAACACAACTACAATTTTAGATGCCTTTTTTTAAAAAGGAAAAACACACACACACATAGAATTATGTGTACTATTTTTAAAAACACCTTATGCTATTTAAACAAAACGTCTAAAAACACATTATATTCTAAGTTAATTTTCAATCATCATATTTATTATTAAATATATATATATATACAAAAAAAAAAGACGCTAACAACAGATTCGCATTTGACATTGACATAACTTGGAGGAGGGAAATCTGATAATTTGTTGTGACATCAATCATTTATTAAAGTTGATAAATCAAGAAATTTAAATAACAACATTTATTTATTAAATTTCATAAATTAAAATTATTTAAAAATTAAAACACAGTTAACAATTAGTTATTTTTGGTAACATCAATTATTTATTAAAGTTGATAAATAAAAATAATTTAATTACTATAACACAATTTAAATAATAGCAATCAGTTACTAATGATAAAAATAGCAATCGGTTACTAACGATGAAGAATAATAGTAGCAATCAATTACTAACGATAAACAATAGCAATCGGTTACTAATGTATGATGTAGAAAAAATGATTGATAAAAAAAAATGTGTATTTTATATATTTAATTTTGTCGTATTTATATATTTTTTGATTTATTTATTTCTTAAATAAATTCAAGTGTTATGAGAGTTTTATAGTTTATTTTTATGATATTGGTGTATTTTCATGGACAACATGATATCAACGAAATTCCAACTGATGCAATACTGGGTACCCGAGACCCACCTGATTTGGGCCTATATGCACTGGTAACCAAGGCCCAAGTTTGGGAAATTAATAAAGTCTAAAGAAAAAATAACTGGAAACTCAAACTTAGTACCAATTTAATTGTAAGTCCATGGATCAATTTAGGAAAAAAATACATGGCTAAGGAGTTGAATCTACACACGTAAGAGAACATAAAGAAAAGGAGAGAAAGACAGCTGCCACCGTATTCCTTAGTGGGAGGAAAAAAAAAATAAAAAAATAAAAAACACCGAAGCAACAGAGGGGAAATAGAAGAGCTGCACGGACCGAAGAGACACGAAAGTTGACCAACTGCGGAGGAAGGCTGCGTCCGTACACAAAATAAGATAATTTTATTCTCTTTGTTTTCTTATTTAAATGTTAGAATAGTTTTTATTATGGTTTTGGAGATGTCGAATTCTACGGATTTGGCTATGTTTAATTGATTACATTGATTGATTATTTTGTTATTTCTATTAAATTGATTATGTTATTTTGTTTTGTTGTATTTGATTTTATTTTGATTGATCAACTAGCTAAGATTTTTCACGTTTAACTCTAGAATTGAACCTTCAATCTATAATTGTTGTTGAGTTTGATTCGCTAGTAGCAATCAATAGTCGGTAACTGTCGGGAATAATCTAATTAAGTAGGCCGAGCGTGTGAGTCAACTACTTAGACTAGCTTATTTTCCTAGATTTTAAAGTTGTTGCTGCATTAAATCTGGAGAGCGTGTTATTCTAAAATGTCCAGTAGTTAGGTTTAATCGAAGAGCGTGTTTCGGCTAAATACACCGTAAGGAAAAATTCGGGTAGCAGATCATGTAGTTACTTAGAGCTAGTAATTTTGGAAGATAGTGAAACTTGACGTCACAATCAGTTAGACTAGTCGAGCGAGGGCGTAGACGGAACGTGAATTAGAAATTTTTCTTAATTTATTTTATTTTATTTATTTTATTTGGATTTTAATTAGTCTAGTTACTAAATCACAACTCTCCTTTTCTTTTATTGTTTTTATAATTTCAATTAATACAAGAAAAATTCATAATTTGATTCAAACTCCTCGTGTATGGATCCCCAAAAGTAGATATAGTGGATCCATTTGTGCCATAAAGTGTCCTTTTTTGGCCTACAGGTTGTAGAGTGTGTCTGCGAGTAACACTTGTAAGTCCAGATGACCTAAACATCCCTCCAAGCGCGGGATACATAAACTGTTATGGGAAATGGTCGAACTCCTCGAGCCCCAAAGAACTCCTCCATGTGTTGGATAATTTTGGTGTGAACGGGTGGGTAGGGCAAATATGCTCATCCAAAAACACTCGACTCCTCGAATAACAAACCGAATAAGTTACACTTGGCCAACATACGATAGTGTGCGAGCGTTCCACCCAATGAAATGCTCCCGATTCTAGTCGACAAGTGCATCAAAATGACTCGCGATCAGCTGTGAGGGGGACCCCAAGGTACCGAAAGGGCATGGACACACTTATAAGGTGCGTGTCATGAAGAATGGTTGTCCGGTTCTCGTTGTTCGCACCAACCATGTAGGTGTTGGATTTCTGAACATTCATTTCTAGGCCCGATTTAGGCCCCAAAGTCTTTTAGCCAATTCATGAGGATTTGAATGAACATTGGGTCATCTCGAGAAAGTGGCATAAGATCGTCGACGAAGGCTAGATGGGTCTCAGATGGCCGCACTTTGGGTGAAAAATTAAATTTTGAGTTGTCGATCGTATTGTGCTTGACAATCTTGGAAAAGTACTCAATGCAAATTACAAAAAGGTAAGATGAAAGTGGATCACCTTGCCTTAATCTTTGTGCCCCTATGAAATGTCCGTGAAGACTCCCATTGAGTAAGATGGAGTAGTGACACACTCCATGATCCACCTAAGAAGATCCTTGGGAAGCCAAGACCCTCAAGCTTCTGCTTAAAAAATGTCGAAGAAATCGAATCAAAGGCTTTGCCCAAGTCAATTTTAATAGTGCACCTGAGGGATATTCACTTTTGCAAGTATTAACGGGACAATTGCTGCATGAGATGGACATCGTCTAACATATTCTTTCCCTTAACGAAAGAAGCCTATGCCAAGTCTATGAGGGAGTCCAACACTGCACTGATTCTCTGAGCAATGATCTTAAAGCAAATTTTGTAAGTTGTGTTGCAACTTGCAACAAGCTATATATTGGCCTAAAGTCCATCACATGAGAGAAGTGTGTGGACTTAGGGACGAGTGTGAGGGCAATATGATTCAACTGCTTGAGCAACATGCTAGAGTAGAAGAATTCTTGAATTCCTGAATTCCTGAGACCACATTGACACCCACTATGACCCAATTTTTCAGGAAGAAAGTGGAAATATATTCGTATGGCCCTGGTCCCTTACAATGTCGGTCAAAGCAGCTTTCATGTCGGCTTCGACCACGGGGTCTAGAAGCAAATTTTATTGTTACTCATCACTCACTTACATATTTTACTAATTATTAGTAATTACCACTAAATATTTTACTATCAAACTTATACTAATCACAATCTAAACAAATATTTTATTCTTCCTCAATTTTACCACCCTTTCTGTATCTTTTGTTCGCGCGGTTAAAAAATTTCAAAGAAAATCTTATATAATAGCACCACTTTCATTTATAGTGGCATTATATATTATTTGGACATGATAAATTATATTGCAAGATCTGCATGAAAACACATTTTTATAATAAAATATAATACTTTTACAATTGACATATTTTAATATATTTATTTTACATTTTACGACATAAATTTTTTATTTTATTAAAAATTGTGACGGTTCTACTTATAAATTGCTATTTAAATGCATATATATATATATATATGTAGTATATATATTGCAATAAATGTGACATATTTAATGCACATGTTGATTAACCAAACGATGGTACCGGCTGCCAAGAAAGGTAGATATGGTGATGAATTTATTGTGACCAATTTGAGTAGTTTGGATTCTATTGGATATGCCTTGGAATTGCAAATATCTATATGGATTTCTATATTACGAGTGCATATGAAATACTATAATGTGATAAATACAAAGACTGTTGGGGGATGTAATTGTTAGGCGAATCAACATATATTAAATAGTTATGTGTATTTATATTGGGTAATTTCATGTTTTATTTTATATATATTTTTTTTAAAATACAACATCTCAGAAAACTAAATATTTTTAATAAAGATTTAAATAAAGAATAAGAAATACAAAATATTATATCGGGTACCTTTGCTTTTTATGGAGTTTCTGCAATAATGCGAGCACTTGTCCAAATATGGATTTTGTTGAGTACATAATAATTACTTAAGTGGGAAATATATAAAGAAAATTAGTGTTGCCTATTTTAGAATAAAAGTACAATGCGCAAAGTGAGACGTGCAAGTGTAACAATGGCAAAGAGACCAAACACTAATACAAGTAAAGAAGTATTTTTTTTAAACGACATGATTATTAAAAAACACAAAATTTACATACGAAATAGTTAGAATAATTGAATCAAACATAAAGTTAAACTTAATCTAGGAGAACTATTTAAATAAAAACTAAAACGACCCACAACACCAACACAAAACACAAAAACTATTAAACCATCATATGAGAGAGGCTTAAATATTTCAATAATGAAGACTAAACAACATAAAATAGAACAAATACAAATATAAATATATATAAAAAAAAAAAACACTAAAAGAGATCTCTTTTACTTTTTTAGTTTGTTTATGGGTTTTGCATAAAACGTAGCTATTAGGACCTCATTTTGAGGTATTATAAAGCGTGTACGGATGTACTTATTTGGATAATTGATAATAATTAAAGGATCAATTTATGTAGATATTTTCTACACAAAACAACAATATAAATTTAGAGACAAACGTGTTTGTGTAGCCTCTTGTTTCTTGGATTGTCTCCCCATCAATTCGTTTTAAATTTGGGTACCCATGTGCCTGCCACGTGACTTTGGTCCCCAAACATTATCTTTATTAATATATAATAGGGAAAAAAGCAATTTGCATCCTGTATTTATGTATAATATTTTGCTTTTGCAATTTATGATTATTGGTTTTAATATAATGTGGTGATATTGCCGATAAATAGGCCTTAATTGTAAGCTAATTATATGTAATTTTTTAATTTTTGGTAATCTAAGTCATAATTTGTTACTATTATTTTGCAAATTGAGTCACAAATCAAGAACTTCAACTTTTGTCATTTTCAAGCTAAATGTATAAAAGATAAAAGCATTAAAATGTTTTTCGCAACCACATAACTGTCACGTTGTCAACTCATATATATAAGAACAGCCTTCAGTCAAATTCAAGTATATTTCTCCTAATTACCTTATCAATTGAGACAAAAAACTAGAATTGAAACTTTAATTTGAAAATATAAAACTCTGTAATTTATTTTTGTCTTCTTATTTTTTTTTATTAGCTCCCTTGTAAATTGGCTTTTGGCTTAGCCTACGGATATAATATAAAATTAAAATATATTTGTTGTATATATACTTCTTCACTAGTGTATATATTACGGTAGATTGAATTAATCATTTCAAATATGATTAGTAAATTAGCCATTGCCTTTAACAATTAATTTTGTATACCCAAAACCCTTTTTAATCATATTGCCGGTAGCCCAGTAAACTTTTGGAAGGTGGCATAGTGTGCTACTTACTTACTTTTACATGCATTAGGTACGAAAAAGAATATGAAAAAGATGGCTGCTGAATATATATATATATATATATATATATATATATATATATATATGAATGTGTATATATATTCTAAAAAAGCAGCTTATATAAGTTGCCATTTAAATTATTTGTATCTTGGTTTTGGGGAATATAATTTGTAGCTTTTGAGTGCCAGGCTCCAATTGGATCGAATCCACTCATGTATATGTAAATTATGTGGATATATAATTTAGTTAATTTTTTTCCTGATAATTCAATAGAACTATATTTGAGTGGATATTTTAATTTATTTTAAAAATTACGTATGAGTTTCATCAAAGGCTTCTTGAATGCCCATTTGATTACTTGAATTTAAGTAAAGGAATGCAACTTATGTGTTTTGATTTTTAAATCCAAGGTCAACGACCATTCTACATATGTTCGAAATAACATAAATAGAAGTATAATATTTAATAATATAAATATGAATTGTTATTCGTAAAGTATGATGAGTCAATCGATCTACCGCTATCATATTTTAAAGTTCAAACAATAATTTAATTGTGATCTTTTTATGTGTCATGTCCAACTCTATTTCAATTTTTCAAAGTTGATTACAAATACTTGCTCCATATTATATAAGTCTCGATTTCATTTTCAAAGCTGGGTTTAAAGCAAAATATTAAATCTTATTTTAATGCAAAACTCGCAATAATATATACACTATACATGATTTCCTACTGAATCAATTCACAAAAATCCAAGAGGGTTAAATTGCATTTTGCTCTCAACCTTTAATATGTTTTACATTTCTCATTAAACTTGAACATTATTTCTCATTACAGCTCACATAGGGCATATATGGTCAACTTTGACAGCTTCAACTTTCAATTCATTAATTAATGAGATACTTACGAAATTAGGATGGCAGTATAGAATTTTTTTTTGCAAGTTATTTAATACAAATGAAATAATAATTACATATAAAATATCCATAGAAGTTTGTTGGAGACACTGATCCTGGTATGGTGACTACCCTCAACTTGGCTTTCCTATCTCGAGAAAATTGCAATTTTAGTCCAGTAACTTAGGTTGTTTCCCACTTTAGTCCAGTAACTTGGGCCGATTCAAAATTGGTCCAAAAACTTCCAAAATATAGTTAAATTAGTCCAATTCCGGTTCTCGTCGCCAGAATCCGAATTGCCAACTCAGCACATTCCGATCGGATTCCGGCGACGGGGACCGGAATTGGACTAATTTAACTACATTTTAGAAGTTTTTGGACCAATTTTGGATCGGTCCAAGTTACTGGACTAAAGTGGGAAACAACCTAAGTTACTGGACTAAAATTGCAATTTTCTCTTCCTATCTCTATTCACGTAGTGTTTTTCAATTTTCAATTTAAAAATAAAAAAATCACTCCTTATTATCTACATTTTTCTAGATAAACTACCGATTCTTGTACACAAATTCTTGTTTGAGACGGATTAATCGAATAAAAATACACCCTTATAATAAAATATGCCATATTTTAGAAATAAAAACAATCATACTTTTGAAAAATTCTTGTTGAATTTTTATAATATGCACTTTGTAATTAATGGATAGTTAATTGTGGAAAGAGGTTGGAGAATAACAGAGTTGGAGACCATAGATTTTTCTGTTAAATCATAAAAAGACTTTAATATATGCTGGGCACGATGGCCTAAACTCCTAATGGAATTGGATTAGGTCACTTTCACAGAATCATAAATGCACTTTAATCTAAATTGGGGAAATATATAAAACACACATGCACATTTCATGTCAATTTCATCAACCAATTATATTTCATGAAAATTAGTCTTAGGAACACAGTGGTTGGCTAAAAGTACTAAAGATATGACAAATCGATCTGTTATATATTTTAAATTAAAAGATGTACATTTATATTTTTATTTAAATTAAATTATATTGTAAAAGAATAACATTTCATTATGAAACTATGCACGTTTATTAAAAATTCTGCTGTCAAAAAAATTCATTTGTTTAACAATCACCCTTAGCCTGAAATTTTGGAAAGTGATATTGCAAATTGGTTTGATGGAATTCGAAAGATTATCTAGATACATTTTCAGCTTTTGTTAAATTTATTTTCATAGCTAGATAATTAAGTATTTCTTAACCATTTTTTATTGATTGAATTTTATTTATAAAAGCTGTAGTGCATCATTTTTTATTTAATATGGATGTAAACTGAAAAAGATAAAAAAATATATATCATGAAAGAAAAAATGTTTATTAAATAAAAAAATAAAAATATTCATAATTCAAATTGATTAAATATTATAACACCTAACATCAAAATTACATATATATGAATTATTATTATTAACTAGTAAAAAATGCATTGGTGGTTGGATTTATTGGTCATATAGGTAAGACTTGCAAATTCTTTGTTAGTCAAATATTGCGGACTGTTTAAGTCTGTAAGTTCGAGGACTGTATACATCAGCAATTATGACCCTTTTCTTTATTCAGTTGAAAATCATTTCGACTAAATTATACGTTGAACAAACAGATTGATTTCAATTACAAAAGAAAATCTATAATATGTGAGCATACTGTGTGTGTACAATATGTGTAAAATAATTAAAGAAATAGAAGATGGGGAATATATGAATTATGATTTAGGATGAGCAACTGTAATATTGGATGTAAAATCGTATTGAATCACAAAAATCAAATATAAAAATTATGAATATTTTAAACTCAAATGCACCACAACAAATGAGAAAATCGATCGAATAGGAATCGAACCGAAAATTTTACACACAAAAACAATCCCGTATTGTTCATTTTAGTATGATTTTTCTATTTTATTATGTATTTGAGATCGTTTTGTGTAAAACTACACCGAATCGACATAACAAAAATTGAACTTGTAAAGAGAAATAACCGAAATCTATCTATCATAACACATAAAAACCAAACAAAAAATTCTACACTAAAATAATGAATCAAATTAAAATTAACATAATTGATAATGCAACTCAATTTTTCGAGTTAGACTCCATTTTGGCCACTCCAATTATTTATTATATTTAAAGAAAATTGAAGTGGACCATACGAGTGAGCCATGTGCAGTTTTGTGGTTCTTGGCTTTTCTGCTACTTTTTATCTATAGTACCATCCAAAACACCATATTCAAAAAAGATTCAATTTTTATTTCAAGTCCAAAATCATCCTTTCACCAGAAAAGCATGTACGAGCAAAAACTGATCTTTATTTACTGAAAAAAAAAACTACTTTCTCTGTTTGGACTGTGCGAGGAAAAGGTACAAATGTTTATGCGCTAGGGTCCAATTCCTAAAAGTTAATAACATCTGTAGCAAAAGCTTGCAACCCCTTTCTTTTACCGCTTTTTGCTTAAAAGCCCAAAAAGAAAAGGTAAAGAGGCAAAAAAAAGGTCAGTTCTCTAATATTTTCCTGTATATAAATTATGGGAAATGCAAATGGGTTTGGGGTTCTGTAACAGCTACCGCTCTCATATCAGCGGTTTTCATTGTTTCTGGATTTGGTGTTGGTGGGTAAACATAGTTCTTTATCCCTCATTCAAACCTTCCCCAATTATTCATGCTGCTTAAGAAATCATTTTTATTTATTTATTTGATTTTTACTGATTTTGGCTGTTTCTTTCATCTCAGCAGCACAAGGCGGGCCTTGTTCATGGTGGGTTTCTGAATACAAGCTTGATCTGAAATTTGTTCCCTGTGGGAAAAGAAGAGTTCGTAGGTTGTCAAGATGGGTGAGAAGCCTGAAGCTTTGGATGCTGTTCTTAAGGAAACTGTGGATTTGGTAATGGATCTGACATATGAATTTATCATTTTCTTGTTTGAGTCTTTTTTTGTTTTGTTTTTTTCAGAAGGTGTGTGTGTGAGTGTTGTCTGTCTCTCTTCTTCTTTCTCATTTTGTTTATTTATTTTGGGGTTGTTGCAGGAAAACATTCCCATTGAGGAAGTTTTTGAGAATTTGAGATGCACGAGAGAGGGCCTTTCTAGTGAGGGTGCTCAGGAGAGATTAGCCATTTTTGGACACAACAAACTTGAGGAGAAGAAGGTTCTCTTTATATACTAAAAAATCTGTTTTGATTTTCTTCTTATTTTGTTTCCCTTTTTCTTTGCGCTCCTTTTATGGCTTGTTACTATTATTACCATGATTTTAATTTTCAGTATTTTTTCATTTCTATTGCAGTGTAGGTGATATGATTTTTTTAGGCTTTTAAATGTAATGTAGTTCTGATGTAGACGTTTATAATTTTGCCTGTGTGGCTTGTTTATCTTTGAAATGTTTGTTAATAACCTGAGTTCATTTTTCGAACAATTTTTGATGTTTTTTTTCAAGGGTGATGCTTCACTGCTGGACAATTTATGCCTGTTCTGCATAGATTAATTTATAAAGTTTGTGTCCTTCTGTGTTGTTCAACAACTTTGCATTGTTTCAGGAGAGCAAATTCCTCAAGTTTTTGGGGTTTATGTGGAACCCTCTTTCATGGGTTATGGAAGCTGCCGCTATAATGGCTATTGCTCTTGCTAATGGAGGAGTAAGGACATAATATATCCTCTCCAAATTTCATGTTTAGAGATAGATTTTTTCCTCTTAAAAAAGAAGAATATTGAAATTTTGGACTTAAATTTTCACAGGGTAAGCCTCCAGATTGGCAGGATTTTGTGGGTATCATAACGTTACTCGTGATAAACTCCACTATTAGTTTTATTGAGGAGAACAATGCTGGCAATGCAGCAGCTGCCCTCATGGCCCGTCTCGCTCCAAAAGCAAAAGTTTGTTATTTTAATATTTTATTTATTTCAATTTCCTGATGTTTATTTTGTGGTATTTTTAATTTAATTAATAATAATTGTGCAAAGGTTTTGAGAGATGGAAGGTGGAATGAGGAAGAGGCATCGATTTTGGTGCCTGGTGATATCATCAGTATCAAACTAGGTGATATAATTCCGGCTGATGCTCGTTTGCTTGAGGGCGATCCACTAAAAATCGACCAGGTTTGTTTTCCTTCTTTAATTCTTTTTATATTATTTGTTTATCATTATTTTTCTCATGTTCGGATTTCAATCTACATTTCGTTTTTGGTTTATTTGGTGGAATTCTTGATTGATGTACAGTCTGCTTTGACGGGCGAGTCCCTTCCTGTAACAAAGGGACCAGGTGACGGTGTATATTCTGGCTCGACTTGCAAACAGGGAGAGATTGAGGCTATTGTTATAGCTACTGGGGTCCACACGTTTTTTGGAAAGGCGGCACACCTTGTCGATAGCACTAATCAAGTTGGGCACTTCCAGAAGGCAAGTTTGATTAGTGTTTTTTCATATTCGGCATCGGCCCAAAATCTACCTTTTGGAATATTAAATACCACTGCCTAAATAGTTTTTAGTTCTTCGGTTCAAATGGCCAAAATGACAAATTCAGTTTTTGTTGAATTCATTGAGGCTGTCTTGGAGTGAGGGACTTTTAATATCCACTTCTTGATATTTCCTGTTTGGGTGTGATATGGATTTGTGTATATCTCAGATTCCACTATAAATTAGACATTTATCTTTCTCTCAATTTTGGTAAATATAGCATTTATAAATTTCACGTCTGTTTTTAGTGTGTGTGTGTGTGGAAAAAGTGGTGTTTATGTGTGAAAAAGTGTGGTTTGCTTCTTTCTTTGTGTATAAACGAAATATATTTAATCAGTATTTTCCATAAATGCTATATATTTTCTCTAGATCATTGAAATATGATTTGAAAGTATGAAATGTGGGGTCTTCTCTGAAATTTAACCAATCATAAAACAAAGTTACATTTCATAGACTTGACATTTTTTTTAATTATTCTGTTTCTGCTACAGTTATTTGGTGATTATTTGAACTTTGTGAGCTGATATAAGATCAAACAATTATATTATCTCTGTAGGTGCTTACCTCAATTGGAAACTTCTGCATTTGCTCGATTGCGGTTGGCATGATCATCGAGATTATCGTGATGTACCCTATTCAGCACAGAGCATACCGTCCTGGGATAGACAATCTTCTCGTGCTCCTCATTGGTGGAATTCCTATTGCTATGCCAACTGTACTTTCGGTCACAATGGCCATTGGTTCTCATCGCTTGGCACAACAGGTTTGCTTAGTTGTTGTGATTGATTATTTGTCCTTAGGCAGTTATAAACTTACAATAGTGTGTAATTGTATATTTATTGGTTTGAATAGGGAGCTATTACAAAGAGAATGACGGCTATAGAGGAGATGGCTGGCATGGACGTGCTTTGCAGCGATAAGACGGGAACTTTGACTCTGAACAAGCTTACTGTTGACAAGAATCTGATCGAGGTTTGATTTTTTTTTATTTATTTTTTCATGGGAAAATGTTTGATTGACCGCTTTTCTGGCTTTCAGAAAATCGCTGTTCAGTGTTTGTGAATGTGGGCTTCAGCTTATCTTCTTTGCTTTTGATAGTTTGTTTACAAAACTAAGTTTGTTTTCGACTATCTATCACGATTTCGGTAAAGCGAAAATTGCCTCTCTCTTCCTAGATACCCATATATGCCATTTTCATTTGTCTATATAAAAGCTCATATTCAAATAATTCCTTTACTCTCTCTCTCTCTCTCTCTCTCTCTCTCTCTCTTTTCCTTTGAATTTATTCAGAATTCACATTCTATTCAATAAGTAGTAAAAAAGCTACTGATTTTCAAGTAGTTTTAGCTTCTAATACTCTACTATCGTTAAATCACTTCTTATAAGGCAAACATATCTGCAGAAAAGCACTCACTAACCATATTCTTGTGTAGGTTTTCGCGAAAGGTGTTGATTCAGACACAGTTGTATTAATGGCAGCTCGAGCTTCGAGGACCGAAAATCAAGATGCTATAGATGCTGCTATAGTTGGGATGCTGGCCGATCCAAAGGAGGTACAAAATACTTCTGTATTTTAAGTCTCATAATACATAATCCTGGTTTTCAACTTCATTTTCAAGTTTTGTTAAATTTATTTCAACAAATACTCATAAACAGGCACGAGCTGGCATTCGAGAAATTCACTTCCTTCCTTTTAACCCAACTGACAAGCGGACAGCTTTGACTTACATAGATGGTCAAGGAAAAATGCACAGGGTCAGCAAAGGTGCACCCGAGCAGGTAAAAAAGCATTATCCTTGTTGTTTTTATGTAATTGTACTTTTCCTCATTAGGTAAAATGCTAAAATGCCATGTGCAAAAAATGCAAAAATGTAGATTCTGCACCTTGCACACAATAAGTCAGAGATCGAGCGAAGAGTTCATGCTGTGATTGACAAATTTGCCGAAAGAGGTCTGAGATCGCTTGCAGTGGCATACCAGGTAATTACATATATATATGTTTTTACTGCTGAGTTGATTTTTTTTAATCTTATTTATATATCGACCTCTCTCTCTCTCTCTCTCTCTCTCTCTCTCTCTCTCTCTCTCTCCCCAGGAAGTTCCAGAAGGAACAAAAGAGAGTCCTGGTGGGCCATGGCAGTTCATTGGTCTAATGCCCCTCTTTGATCCTCCGAGACACGACAGTGCAGAAACCATAAGAAGGGCTTTAAATCTCGGAGTCAATGTCAAAATGATAACTGGTCCGTTAAACTCGTTTTGCAACTTCAAGCAGTAAAAAATATGTTGAAATTCAAGTTTTGCTCGATGATCATGTGTCTATGACTCTATTGTATTACCTGCTACCATCGTCAAACATTTTCCAAAATCTTGGCCTTTTTTTTGTTAGATCACTTAAATATATTGTTAGATAAGCTATAAAGCCCATTCGACTGGGTCTTAAACACTTTTTACCCTTTGAAGGATTCGGAAAACTATTCTCGAGCCATATAAGATAATTGATAGCTGATTTTTTTTTTTTTTTTTTTTGTCTATTTTCACTTTGATGTTACTTCTGCCGAGCTATACTTACTAGAACTAGTGGATTTTCTTGTGAGGTAATTGGTTAATGTGGTGTGGGTTATATAACAGGCGATCAGCTAGCAATCGGAAAAGAAACTGGACGAAGGTTAGGAATGGGAACTAACATGTATCCCTCTTCGGCTTTACTTGGACAGAACAAGGATGAATCAATTGCTGCTCTTCCAGTTGATGAGCTCATCGAGAAAGCTGATGGTTTTGCCGGTGTCTTCCCTGGTATTTTTCTTTTCTACCTATTTTTTCTTTCTTTTCATATTCTTCCAATGAGTTTGATCCTCATATACCCCATTTTTTAATCAGAAAATAGTTTTTTTGGTCCTGTAATTTTGACGTCTTGTGGATTTAATCCTTTTGTGTAGTAACATATAGATTCAAGTTCAATATTCGGATATTTAGTTTGATCCGGACCATTGCGTAATTTGCCAGTTTTAGCAATTATTGGACAAAAAAGGGTTAGAACTACAGATAATCGAGTTAGAGGTCTTAAAGATAAAGAACAATTATAGTATTTTGATTGTGGATGTCGCACTTTCTGGAAAATAAAAGATTTTTCTTGTTATCCTTTTTTTTTTTTAAATAATTAAATGTGCTCATATTGGATGTTTTTGGCAGAGCACAAATACGAAATTGTGAAGCGGCTGCAAGCTAGAAAACACATATGTGGAATGACTGGTGATGGAGTAAACGATGCTCCTGCTTTAAAAAAGGCCGATATTGGAATTGCTGTGGCCGATGCAACTGATGCTGCTAGAAGTGCTTCAGACATTGTTCTTACCGAGCCTGGACTCAGTGTGATTATAAGCGCCGTGTTAACTAGTCGAGCAATATTCCAGAGAATGAAGAATTATACGGTAATAATAATACATTTCAATGAATTATTATTAAGTTTCACAACATGAACTCTCATTGTTGTTTTTTTTTTTCTACGTATTTCTTTGCAGATTTATGCTGTCTCTATTACGATTCGTATAGTGGTGAGTTGAGTTAAGCTTTCTCTTTCTCGTTTTTCATTTACTTCAATAAAAGTTTCTCATTTTTTCTTGTTTTCGTCATACAAAGGTTGGTTTCATGCTGTTAGCCCTCATATGGAAGTTTGACTTTCCCCCTTTCATGGTGCTTATCATTGCAATTCTCAATGATGGTTAGCTCTTCCATCTATGTCTATTATTTATATTTATTTATTTGTTTATTTAAATTTATTTATTGTTATTGATATTTTCTCACTTGTGTTTCGACACTTTTCATGCGATTTCTCGTATAATGAAGGTACCATTATGACCATATCAAAAGATAGAGTGAAACCATCTCCACTGCCAGACAGCTGGAAGCTTGCCGAGATATTTGCAACGGGTGTCATTCTTGGTGGTTACCTGGCAATGATGACCGTCATTTTCTTCTGGGCCGCTTACAAAACTAATTTCTTTCCGGTACGCTAAAATCTTACTTCTCTCCATTGTTTGTGACAAAATTTTTGCAACGATTTCAATTTCGTTCGAGTATTATCAGTAAGCTAATTGGATTATTACCATGATGTCTAAAAAAATTTGTGATGTGAAATTTAGCAAAAGCCTGCTCATTTCAACTCAAACATCCGGGCGCTTTTTAGTAACAATAATATCTTTATTTATTTATTTATTTATTTATTTTTTCGTAAATTGCCAGCATGTATTTGGTGTGTCGACACTTGAGAAAACAGCACATGATGACTTTCGGAAGCTTGCTTCAGCTATATATCTTCAAGTGAGCACTATCAGCCAAGCCCTAATATTCGTCACAAGGTCTCGAAGCTGGTCATATGTCGAACGTCCCGGTTTGCTGCTTGTGGCAGCATTTGTGATTGCCCAACTGGTTAAGCCTTGTTCTGTTTTACTCGCCGAACCATAATTATTTAAACCGTATTTTTTTTTTCTTTGTCGTTTTTTCGAGAGTAAACATTGATTTGTATTACTTGTTTGGAACAGGTTGCTACACTTATCGCGGTATATGCAAATTGGAGTTTTGCAGCAATTGAAGGAATAGGTTGGGGTTGGGCAGGCGTGATTTGGCTCTATAATATCATTACTTACATTCCACTCGATATAATCAAATTCTTGATCCGCTACACGCTCAGTGGAAAGGCTTGGGATCTTGTTCTTGAGCAAAGGGTAAAAAAATTGAATTTTTAATTCATGATATCGTTCGTAAAACTCCTTTATGTTATTTATTAGTTCCGTTCTAGGTTAATGGATTTTTTTTCTTTTTTCTTTTTGGTTTTGGTTTTGCGCAGATTGCATTCACAAGGCAAAAGGATTTCGGGAAAGAGCAGCGTGAGCTCAAATGGGCTCATGCACAGAGGACCCTTCACGGGCTGCAAGTGCCCGACACTAAATTGTTTAACGAGACAAACAATTTCTCGGAGCTTAATCAATTGGCTGAGGAAGCTAAAAGAAGGGCTGAGATTGCAAGGTAAAATCGAATTTGCAGAAACTATTAATTACTAGAAAATTTGTTACCTTCTAAAATTACACAAATCTGCCCTGAAATCTTACANTCATTTTGAAAATGAACATGTTAACTACCGACACAGGCTAAGGGAATTGCACACGCTAAAAGGTCATGTTGAGTCTGTGGTGAGGCTGAAGGGTCTCGATCTAGACACAATTCCGCAAGCTTACACCGTATGAGGAGAGAGAAAAAAAAACCTATGTCTGATGGTGGCTTTGTGATTGCACCCAATCTTTTGGAATCGAGCTATTTGTCTCTCGTTTCAGCTATATATGAGTACATATACTAGATGCGGCAAGATTTGGATTAGCTTATGAAAAACTTGCACCTGCTAGATAATTGTACTTCAATTTATGTGAATCGTGTTTCTTCAGCTTTTGAGTCCCTTCTCGTTCTTGTAACTTGTTATCGACATTTGGGATTATGTATGGTTACTTATGTTAGAAATCGATGTTTATGCAATATGTAATGCCTTTCATTAGCGTGCCCGATTTGTTTGTTATTCGATTCCCTGAAGCTCTGCTCTTTGCTGTGCATTGCTTAAGCAAATGGTAGATTTTGCTCACAATTTCATATAACCAGTGGTTCAGTACATTATGGTTAGATAACCCATGGACCAACCCGTTGTTTTTAAAAGCTGTGTTGTATCGGGCTTTAAGACGCTATAGCGCAAATTTGTTCGTAAACGCGATATAATATTTTAGATATTGCTTTTTTCCTGAAAAATCCTACCTAATTCTACCGATCAAACCGAACGCCGATCGACTTTGTCAGTCTCCATCTATACCTCGATTGCATTGTTCCCCTCCCCCTTGTATTTGTACCACCGAGCACACACCAAAAAGTACCCGAAGTTGAACGCGCACAAAACCGCAACCAAATAGTAGAAATAATCCAACCTCCCCTTGTTCAGATCCTCCGGTAGCCAGTTCCCGCCCGACGACCCCTCGGTCACCCGGTGAACGACTGTTATCAACAAGCCGTACGCGTAGTTCGATATCGCCGCATTGCAGAAGAAAACTGCGCCCGCGAACCCCCTCATGTTCTCCGGGAGCTCCTTGTAGTAAAACTCGAGCTGCCCGATCGCGTTGAACGCCTCGGCCAGCCCAGCCAGCACCAGCTGCGGGACGAGCCACATGGACGACATTGGCGAGACCAGCGTCGCGCTCCGTAGGGCCCGCGCCCTGCGCCTCGCCTCGACCGCACCCCCTATTACTGACTCGACAATCGTCAGTACAATGCCGACGCCGATCCTCTGGAGGGTCGTGATGACGACTCGGTTATCGGTGGCGCGGCGGAGGGAAGGGACGAGGAGGCGGTCGTAGAGAGGGACCCATAGGGCGAGGGCGAGCATGGCGAAGATGCCGTAGGAGGCGGCCGGGATCTGGAACCTCGTGGGGCCCACGTGGCGGTCGGATTGGAGGGCCTGAAAGACGAGGTACTGGGGCATGACACCAACGTGGTAGAGGATGGAGGTGAGGGAGATGGGAATCACGCGGGCCACACACTTTGCCTCCTCGACCTGTTGCATCGTGCAGAGGCTCCACGGGTCGGCGGGCGACCCATTGGGATTCGTGGAGTCTTCCGGGGTTTTGATTGCGGCTTTGTCTAGGAAACTGCGAGAGAGAGAGAGAGAAGAATCGTAGTCACGGGAATGCATTAGTGTATTTGCGTGCAGTCGTTCGCAAACAATGCATACTTATATACTATCGATTAGTGTCACGCTTTTATTTATGTTTTAATTTAAAGTATGACATTTGAGTAGTGTAAAGGTATGTATTTTTTAATGGAAATAGTGTAACTACCTAACCATTAGACAACCTCACAAAAGACAAAACGTTGCAGATTGTTGTACCACGTTAATATACAAAACGTAACAATGTTGTAAAATATTACAATTAATATTTAATGCGATTTATCCTAGGGTAATACATTTCTTGAAATCGCTACACATTTTTGGAATTTTCAACTTATAATACTTTTTCTTGGTAAAATGCATACTTACTGAACATTCACAGTTTGCAACTTTCCTACATATTGACCATACACGTGTCCATTCAAAGAAACAGTAATTGCTGACCTGAACTGGTGACTGTAAGGTAGCCTGGAATTCCGAGACTTAGGCGGCACGTAATCGAAAAGACAGAGCCATGGTTGTGGTGGTAGCTCCAGCTTCCTCTTCCTAAAAGCAGCCACTCCCACCCGAGCTAAGCTCATAAACGGGCTTCCCTCGGGCCTCACCTTCACGTACAGCCTGGCGCCCACAAAAAACATGAAGCACGCAAGGAACATGAAGATGGTGGGCAGGGCAAGGCCCACGGACCAGCTCACACTCGACTGGACATAAACGACTAGCGTGACCGAGACCATGGTCGCAAAAGTGACCGTGAAATAATACCAATTGAAGAAGCTGTCGATGCCCCTTTTACCGGACTCTGTATTCGGGTCGAACTGGTCAGCCCCGAATGCCAGGTTGCACGGCCTGATGCCACCAGCCCCGATGACCATCAGCCCAAACCCAAATATAAGAAAAGCCATCTGGGGCGCATTTGGGCCCACGCATGGGCCTCTTGTTGGGTCGCAGTGGGGCGGGTGCAAGTTCTTGAAGACCGCCGTCAGGTTCACCACGAGCATGCCCTGGACGAGTTACACAAATTGCATAACCCAAATTAACCACTAAATCTCGTAATATAATATAAAATACAAATATTGTTGTTTGGCTGCCTAACTATTTTAGACAACTATATTTTTTTATACCATGAAACATCATAATTTTGTCAATACTCAATTTAAACTATGAAAGTATGCAAACTTTTGAAAGAGCACAAATTCTTGTGTGAAGCGTTCTAATCGTTAGGCGGGTTGACCCGAAAAAAATCGTACTTACACTCATCAAATGTGATACTTTTATTTATGTTATTTTCTAAAGTATATTTTCTTATGAAAGTATGTATATTTGTGGAATGTTTCGATTATGGAAACTACTTGAGCTTTGAGACTCGACAAAGAATATCAATGAAAGCAGGCAGTGGGCGGGGCTTAGGGGTGCGTGTACTTACAAATAGTGAGGCGAGGGAGGCAAAGGCTAGAGTGTTGTAGCGGCCAAAGTAGGTGTCGGAAAGGAAGGCTCCGGCCAGGGTGGCTATGTTGGTGGTGCCGGTGAAGACATTGAGAAGTATGGTTGAGGAAATGCGACTCATGTTGAAGACGGTCGTCAAATAGAGTTGCAGGTTGTATTGGGTGCCAATTGCCCCCAACTTCTCGAAGGTCTCATTGCCTACGTAACAACTCAAATTCTCGTGTGAGTCAACCTATCTGTTGTTACACGGATGAGACTTGTGACACTTTTTATTTTCTAAAAAAAATAAAAGAAAAATAAATGCATATTTACTTATTTTAGGAAATCTAATACTTTTGTTTGTCTTTTTTTTTTTTGAAACGATAGAATTTATATTCCTTCAACAAAGAAGATTTTACAATGACGACCGAAGGGACACTAGCCCCTATAAAAGCATCCAAAAAGGTGGAATCGGGAGAGATGCTAACCGTAGCACCCTAGACACACAAAACCAAAACAATTGGGATCAGAAAGTTCAACAATGGCATGAGCATTGAACCCGAACTGCTGACCAAACCCTTTACAAAACCAAACTAAACACTCCACTAGGAGAACATATACTAAAACAAGAAAACAGACACACACTTAAACTAACTATAAACTACTACCTCCCCAACTACAACCAGCAACACACAACAAACCCAAACGGAACGAAGCCAACAGCCACTAATAACAAGACCACAAACAGGGCCCAAAGCGCAACAGAATCGGACCCCGAAACTAAAAACTCCATGGAAACGGCTAGCTAGAACCGACGCCAGATCTGAAAGCCCGAAGCCACTGCTCGATGGCGAAAGCAAATGCAGGCACGGATGGATCGACTTCAAACAACGCTTGAGGACCAATCTTTCGCATCCTTAGGGAACTCGATCCGGCGGCGAAAACAGACGGACGGTCACCAACCTGGAGGAGACGGCGGCAAAGCCAGCCGGGCGAAGCTGCGGCCAGGACACCGAAATCGTCTGGACCGAGGCAGAGGCATCAGGACAAGTCGGCGGCACTGAACCCGGCCCGAGAGAAGGCTGCTCGGCGCGAGCACCGTTGGCCCTCTCCCGCTCAAAAGCCGCGACCGGAGGCGCCACGAGGCGCGGCACAGGGAAGGCGGAAAGGCCACTTGCCTCAGTACCAGACGAAGAAGAGCAGCAGGGTTGGAGCTGTGAGTCGCCGGAGGAAGAAGGGGGGGCGCGGCTGAGAAGAGGAAGGAGAAGCTAGGCGGCGGCGGAAATTGGGGGAAATTTGGGGAAGAAATAGGGTATTTCAAGTGAATGATATTTGAATTTAAAAATATACATATATATTACAAAAAGAAAAATATGACCGTCTAAGTTAGACTTCGCAATTTCACTTAAAGAATAACAAGACTTGAAATCAATTCCAAGAAAAATAGAAACAATAAATTTGCAGAAATTTGAGGTATTTCAATATGCACAATTTTTTTTTGTTCTTTCTATAAATCTGTTGGGCTCACCAATAATGAAAGGCATGGTCTTGAGACCTCTGTAGTTGTAGTTGATCTGAGGAGGATCATCATCATCATCTGGAGCTGCTGTTTTTGCCTCTATTTCCATATTTTCTCTCTCATTCTTCTTCATTTTGCCTTCTCTCTCACACTCACACAGGTAGATCTTTAATTACTATGGAGAAATTGGAAAAGTAAGCCACATTTAGCAAGACGATATGCCATTGTATATGTAATATTACCTATGGCTATGGCCACTTTCATAAATGTTATAATATTATCTATGGTCAATTTCTAAATCAATGTTTTCAAATCCCAATTGAATTCTGTGTCATAGTTGGGACTCGGGTTATTAGTGAACCAAATAATTAATATTAAAAATTTTACACCTCATAAAATAATTTATATGTAAATTTTGTATGTCAAAGTCTGGATAATATAAATATTACTTTTTTTAAGTGGCTGTGTCTTGAGTGAGTTTACCCGATCAAATCAATGCCACGGTCGATCGGGTTTGATCGGATTGCTTGTTAACCGATTTGAAAGACTCATTTGGGTTGGGTACGACTCCACGTCGACCCGCCCGTTTAAAAAAATCCAATTCGTTCATTTTTTTTTGTTCAAGTAATTATTTATTTTTGCCTTCTTGTCTGTATGTTCAAATATAACTACATGGGCTAGCTGGACCCTTATGCATTGAAATGCTAGTATCCAAGTAGCTAGCAATAAAATTAAGATAGCTTTAGGAGAAAATGAATGCCATTGCCAATGAGTTTATAGTTTTTACAGGCTAAAATTATGTAATTTAGCCTTGTAAATTATTCATATACGAATTGCTCGTTTTTTGTCAACTTCTATAATATAAATATAAATTATTTAACTTCCATATATATATCAGTTTTGTGTTTTTTGTTATTGTATAACTATAATACAAAATATGAATATTAGCTGTAATATAATTTAATATAGTTTATTCAGAAAATTTAAAATCTTGTAAAGTTATTATAAAATAAATAAATAATAATAATAATATTTTACTTGTGTAACTGTCATTTTAATACTGGTCATAAATATTATTATTAAATTAAGTCCTATTTTTATTAATTGCTAGCTGAATAAAATTTATTGAAGTTTTCCAACAATTATATATATATAGATTAAATTTGTGATGATCTAGTTCTTGTTTGGAATTACTTAAGTAAAAGATCATTATTGTTAATCTAATGATGTTACTTTGACAAATGTCTGCGCGTGCACAAGTTCCTATTGTTACTTGTCTCTAGTGGACACGGTGTTTTGTCTCATGATGTCACTTTAAACATGGAAATCTTCAAATATGCCATCTTCTTTGACATAGTGGATGACACAGATAATATGTAATTGTAGGAATTATTGATTTTAACATTGATTGATGTGAAAGCACCGTCAGTGTGACGTCATAGATGTTTCTAAAACCACACGTTCTTTAATGAGAGTCGTTGATCGTGTTGCAGATCGACGGTCCATATGACACGTCATTTCAAAGATGTCATATGTCCCTCGTAAAAGGACATCATCTTCCTCATTTCGCACTTTTATCATTTCCGTCACTTCTATTTTAGGAGAGTGATATGAGAATTGTTGATACTAACATTTTTGGAAGTGTCGATATTGATCTCCTAATTTAGTTTGCAAAAATTCCAAAACAGGTTGATTCGAGCCCCACGAGATATAAGAACGCCTAATTGCATTTCGTGCATTGATAAGACATTGGCAGATTAGAGAACATGTAGCCGAATTTAGGAAAACGTAGTCATTGACACCAATATCTTCTATTTGATATTTGACCGTGTGCTGATTTTCGGACTCATTTCGAGTTGAAGTTTTCACATTAGATTGAGAAGAATCTGTCACGATGGATTTGGACTTAAAAAATGAAAATATAGTTTTTTTTTTTTTTCCACCGTAAGTATCCATTTGAAAATTCACCTAAACAAGAAAATAACAACTAATTAATATACATGAATATGACATTGATGAAACTTGAGCTTAACATTGAGATATTAGGTAAAATTAACATAAACAGCAAAAGACGATAAAAAATGAGAAACCAACACATATTAGGTACAATATTAGGCACATTCATTCTAATTTTAAACACATACTCCCAAGTCACACCCAACACATATTAGGCACAATATATTGAATTAGGGCAAAGTTAATCTATCATTATATAAAAAGGATAACTTTTTTATAAATTTAGAAACTTTTTTGCCAAAATTATTAAATATATACTAAATATAGTACTTGTTGTACAATTGTGAATAGCCACAAAAACCGGCTCTTTAATTGCATTGTTTCTTTAATTCTAACTTTCAATAATAAATCCGATTGGCATTTGTTTAAACTTTCCCACAAAAATCTCATATCATAAATCTACACGAGTTTATCTCTTATTTGTTATATTGCATACGTCTCACGAGTTTAAAAAATCTCATCTCTTATCTATAAAGATTTTAAAAAATAAAATAAAATATAAACCAATTCATAATTACTACTAGAAATCTATTATCTACTTTAAAAAGCTAATTTTTATCGATCTAATTACTAATATTTTTACAAATATTCGAGTTTATCTCTTATTTGTTATATTGCATACGATCTCACGATTTTAAAAAATCTCATCTCTTATCTAAAATAAAAACCAATTCATAATTACTACTAGAAATCCATTATCTACTTTAAAAAATTAATTTTCATCGGTCTAATTACTAATATTCTTACAAATATTATAAGCTAATAATACATCCTCGATAACAATGTAAAAAAATATAATAACAATGGTGTGTAATCAAATATTTTTTAGACGGAAGTAACGCCATAAATTCGGTATTATCTGACATAATGTCTTTATTAAATTATGCTCATAATATTTTAGATACTTTAGACGAATTGTTTAGACATTTTTTTACATATTTGTCTATATATACATATACACATACATAATTGATGTTAAATTTAAATATTTGTAGACATGTTTTCCTTACAAAATAGTCTAGAAAAATCTTTTTTACGCTATGTTAAATTCAAATGTTTTTATATATGTTCCTTCTAATAAAAAAAATGTAGGTGACTTCACATCTTTCAAAAATAATATAGAAAATTTTGATTACTCTTACAAATACTAATATAATATTTTAGGTGTTTTTAATATTAAACATACAAATTTTATATTCTCTTATACAAAATAATGTAAATTTTTTATTCTCTTATGCAAAATAATTTTACATTGTTTGACCCTGAATCTTTAATTTATAATTATTAAGTATTGTTTATTCTCCTCTTTAATTTATAATTATTTTTTTTTCTTCCTCTTTTTAAATAAGATCAATGGTAGTTTCCACTTCCGTCCTTGAGTGATTCAAACTCGGGGTGTATTTATAATATTGTTAATTAATATTATTCTCGTGCATCGCACGGATACACACTAGTAATTAAAAAAAAATGAACAAAATAACATAGAACAAAAAAACTTACAAGATTGAGATAAATAATAACACCCAACACAAATTAGGCACAACATTATAGAATTAGGGAAAAACTAATAATTACAAAAAAAATAAAATAACAGAGAACCAAAAAACCAATATTATGATGGATTGTTGGAGTGCCGAGACCGAGACGAACCAGACGGTTCCGGAGTGCTGCTTCGAGCCTCTGCGCAAAATTGCAAATTGAGGTTGGAGACTTGGAGTCTGAGTTCAATTCAGACTGAATTCTCCACTGCTCCACACCGCACGCGTTCGAAAGAAAAAAAAGAAAAATTGATTTTTTTTTTTTTCAATTATTAATGTTTTTTTTGTGGAACTTAATGTGATATGTGACGATAGTATGGTGTATTTGTGTGTATCATGGGCCTTTTGGCCCATTCTTCTTTTTCATTGGACCATTTTTTTTTATTTTATTTTCAAAAGGAAATTGGGTTTGGGCCCAATTTAAAACTTGGGCTGGTTTAATAAAACTGGACTTAATTTTTCTTTTTCTTTTTTCTTTTTAAAAAAATAGACTGGGCTGGAGCCCATCCCACCCTTTGGTAGTTCTACCCCTGATCTTTGCTATGATTTCGATCTCCAACGCTGCGACCTTGGCTATTAGATTACCCGTACATTTAGTAGAGGAACAAGAAGGCGAAGTCCCTTGGGACGAGCTTGAAAACCTAGTAGATAATTACCTTAAACCGATCGAGCTCGCACCTCTAGTGAGGATGTTCCTGTTAAGTGGGTAGATCTAGAGAGAAGTAAGAAACACATAACCGTGGTTAAGGGCAAAAGAGCTAAGCTCATAAAAACTCAACCCTTTCTTCGACTACTCTTTATTGTTTGTTGTGATTTGGTCTAAGTAACAAGTGAGGGAGACAAAAGTACAATGCAATTGACCTACTAGCATTCTCTGTTTTCTTGTCATCTGTTCATGAGAAAGAAAGAGGATCCATGTAATTGAGAAACCTTGGGAGGGAAAGAGCGTATCAATCAGGCGTCCGTGAACGAATGAAAAAGTAATTTTCTTCAAACACCAATGTGAGCTTCCCCGATCTTGGACTCTTCGAGCTATAACCCAGAACGTTCTAGGTTATAACTTTGACCAACCCCCTCCAACCTTCTATACTTTCTTTATGGACCAGGTCTATACTTTTTTTAAATTAGGGAATACTTTTTAAATGTGAGTATACATACCAATATTTCGCGTGAATACCTTGAATGAATACGTACAAAATCACTTTAGGTTAAGTTTATTTCTCCGTACATCGCACGAGATATGTGCTAGTATTTCCAAACTTTAGTTATTCTTATAGGAAAAATAAAAGAAGGGATATTTTTAGACACAATGGAGTTGCAAAAACTCTTTAAGGTGATAGTGATACTGTGCATCCAAATTAATTTCTTGGACAAATATTCCAAGCAAGCTTGTTCTATAAATATTCATGCATTAATGATTCTACTTATCGAATCCATATATTCTTTATCTTACCCTCAAATCACTTACTACAACCTCAAAAACACCCAATTTCCAAACATCCAAATCCCCTAAACAACACTCTTATTACCAACATTCCCACTACCCTCCCCCATCTCCACACCCACCACACCCACACTCGTCCCCTTATACACATACCACTTAGCACACACAAGAAAATACCCCAAATTCAACGCGCACAAACCCGTCACCAAATAGTAAAAATAATCCAACCTCCCTTTATTCAAATCCTCCGGCAACCAATTCCCGCCCGGCGACCCCTCGGTCTCCCGGTGCACAGCCGAGATCAACAAACCCTTCAAGTAATCCGCCGCCGCCAAACCACAAAAGAAAAACGACCCGGCCACGCTCCTCATGTTCTCCGGGAACTGCTTGTAGTAAAACTCGACCTGCCCGATCGCGCAGAACGCCTCCGCCAGCCCAGCCAACGACAGCTGCGGCACGAGCCACATCGCCGATGCAGACGAGACCGAGCCTCGATTCGAAAACTGCAACGGACTTGAGATCGCCAGAGACCTCCGGCGAGCCTCGACGAACGCAGATACTAACGATTGGATGACTGTAAGGCCGATGCCAATTCCCATGCGCTGGAGGACGGTGATTCCGGCTGGTTTTTTGGTGAGGCGGCGGAGGTAATGGACGAGGACGCGGTCATAGAGAGGGACGAAGAGGATTAGGGTTAGCATGGAGAATACGGTGTAGGTGGCGGGTGGGATGCGGAAGGAGGTGGTGGGGCTCAGGCGACGGTCGGATTGCATAGCTTGGAAGACGACGTAGGGTTGTTTTTCGCCGACGTGGTAGATGATTGTGGCGGCCCAAATGGGGAGGACTCGGACGAGGCACTTGACTTCCTCGACTTGTTGCATCGTGCAGAGGCGCCACGGGTCGTTGGGAGAGCCGTCAGGATTGATGAGGTCGTCTGACATCTGGATCGCAGCCTTGTCGAGAAACCTGACAGACGTCGAAAGTAAAACTGCGTAACTCGCTAGGAAATATTTTTTGAATTGTTTCGTATTTTTTTAAAAAGAAAAGATGTCGTTTATTTTAGGTCATCAACTATTTTGTTTTTCGCGAGGCGTGTTTTACAGCAGTAAGTAGAAATCAGTAATAATACAAATAGAAAAGAAAGATATCAATAAGTACTCATCGTAAAAAAAATTGTATTAAGTTAAAATTATGGTCGAAACATGTCATTATATGAAGCTACATCATAATGTTTTATTGTTAATTTTTCAATAAGCTCTTTTAGATTATAGAATCCTATGAGCATTTAAGTCAATCGTTTGAAGGTAAAACTAATAATCTTCATAAGTAGTGTAACATATTTAATTTTATCATATTTAGGAGAGAGGGCAAAATTTACAAATAAACGTGACAAAATTGGTAAATCAAACGCTATATATATAATTTATATCGAATGCTCTATTTGAAGTGGATTAACTTTTTAGGGCACGAAATGTGGACTCTATTGGTGAAAGTACTATTGCGCTCAATTATTGTGTGGGTGGTGGGTTTGAAGATATCTTGTTCCCCATCGATCAATGCAGTTTCACATGAAATTCTCCTAATGAATGTCGTGCCTGAATAAAATTCCATAGTGTGGAAAAAGGTATAGTGATGAGGTCTTTTTCAGTGTGAATGGTCACTAGTGTGGCTTCACGTGATTGAATAATGGCTCTGACTAATATTTGAATATTAATGAGATATAAACTCACCTTGAATAAAATCAATTTTTTTTGTCCACAACCACAAAGGGTATGGGTTTAGGCTAATTAATGTATGGATGAGATTATAGAGAAGGTTCTGACATTTCATATTTCAAGACAAAATCTGATTCATTGGAATAATACAATTGTACCATGAGAGATGTGAACAAGCCGAGCTGACTCGAATTCGATCGAGATCCTGATATTTGAGTTTCGACTCAAGTTTTTATTGAGTCAAGCAGAGATACTTTAAGTCGGGCTCGAGCTCGATTTAACTTGTTAAGCTAATTATCTGATAAACAAGCTTGAGCTCAAATCAATAAACGAGGGAGCTCAATTATGGTGAAACTTAAAAAAAATTACGTAAAATGTTATATTTATCAGGTCTAACAAGTTTTAAATGAGCTCGATCCAAATGAGTTGAGTCGAGCTCGAACTTTAACGAGTCAAATTGATGACAAATATATCTGTAGATGACACTAGTGAAAAATTAAGAAAATTTTAAAAAGGAAAAAAAAAACCAATTTCTAATTATAATCTTTTGGTACTTAGTACCTACTAACTAATCTATCCAAAGAACAGTATTGTTCGTTAAAATTCGCAGACTTGAGCTATTTGAAGTATGACAGCTGGTGGGTCATGCAGAAAATTATTACTTTTTGGCCTATGTCGGGACAAAAGTTACAAAACTAATTCAATAAATTAAACAAATACTTCTAGTTTTTACTTTGGAGAATCTATATGCATAATCTATAGTAAAACCATGTATATTAAATTCTTGACAATGATTGTTTAATTATTATTATTATCTTTTAATCACTCCAAATTCTGAGGATGACCAAAAAGAGCATATACTTACCTTATGTAACCTCTGTAAACAAGTAATTAATCAAATCAGCTAATAATAATAATAATAATTACCTGAATTGATCTGTGTACGGCAGTCTGGAGTTGATCAACTTAGCCCCCGCCGGCACATAATTAAACAGGCTGAGCCACGGCTGCCGTGGAGCCCTCAGCCGCCTCTTCCTGGCGGCCGCCACCGCTACTCTTGCAACGCTCGTGAACGGGCTGCCCTCCGGCGGCACCACCACGTAAATATTCGTCCCCACAAAGAAAAAGAAGCACGAGACGAACATGAAGCCCGCCGGAATCCCGAGCCCGACCGCCCAACTCACGTCCGATTGCACATAAACGACTAGAGTCACGGCCACCATCTGCGCGAACGTGAGCGTGAAGAAGTACCAATTGAAGAAGCTGTCGATGCCCCTCTTGCCAGACTCGGTTCCAGGGTTGAACTGGTCGGCCCCAAACGCGAGGTTGCAAGGCCGGATGGCGCTTGCACCCAACAATAATAGCCCGAAGCCCGATAAAAGGAAGCCCGTCTGGCCCGGTGTGGGCCCCACGCAGTGGACGTCATCCGGGCCGCAGTGCGGCGGGTGAAGGTTCTTGAATGCAGCGGTCAGGGTTATTACTGCTAAACCCTGTTTTTTTTTTTTTTTTTTTTTTTTNCCAGTCGTTAGATGAGTGACACGTGTGAAATGAAATTTTCAACATTATTTTGTAATATGAATTTAATTATTTTTTTTGGGATAGTATCAGTGTATCACTAAATGGTCATGTAGCTTTTAAAAAAATAAAAACATGGCTACTTACTGTAAATGTATGAAATAATAGTCATTTTGTACGTGAAATGACACAATTACCTTTATTATCATTTGACACAAAATGATAATAAAGGTAATTGTGTCATTTCACGTACAAAATGACAACCTTTATTATCAAAATTTGATAATAAAGGTAATTGTGTCATTTCACGTACAAAATGACTATTATTTCATACTTTTACAAAAGTAGCAATATTTCATCTTTTCATTTGTTACTTAATTGGTTATAAAACCAAGGGATTGTGTTTCTTTTTTATAGTGTTTCATCGGCAAAATTTTAAAATTGGTCCTATAAGTTGGCCACAATCCAAAAAACCACCCCTATATTGACCACTTTCAATTTCGGTCCTATAATTTGTCGATTTCATCAATTCTGGTCCTATTTTATCCCAACCCCGATAAAAATGTGACGTGTCATTTTTAAATATGACACGGCATGATTATTGTTTACGTGGCAGGATTATAAATGTGGACTTCAAAATTAAATATCCAAACCTTAATTGCAATTAATTATAACTTTTAAAATTACAAAATAGTCCATCTAACTTATTAAATTTAAAAAACGATCCCTGCAATACTAACTCGTCATCACCCAAATCCGGTCTTCTTCTTCTATTATCCGGCAATTCACGGCGGCCCACCCAAATTTTTCCGGCGACCAATTTTTTTCACCTGGAGGGGTATCGAGGAGAACAAATCGATGGCTAAGGCGAAGAAGAAGGTGATTTTCCGGCGATTGACACTTGAAAATAGAAAACAGAAGCATGAAAATTTCCCCAAAAAGATCATAGATTTGTGTTTTTTTTGGATAAATTAGAAAAAGGGCAAACGAGAAAAATGGGAAACAAAGTTGGAAAATTGAAACTCTATTTCTAGATAGAAAATCATTCTGCTACATCCCGCTGGACCCGCCCCAATTCCCGATTGATTTGACGCCCCGGCGGCAGCGGTGGCGCCGTTATGCACAATATTCGGCACTACCATCTCAACCAACGCTTCCACCACACTCTCCACCACCGCCCCCATGGACTATGCCGCCGCAAAAATGCCCACCGCCTTCGAGAGCTTCAATTTATTCTCCTTCTTCTCCAAATTGCTCGAAGCTTCAGTAACGTGACCTATCTCAGAACTACTTCGTGGGGGAAATTCCGACGAACATCAACCAGCTCCGCGCTCCCCCACCTCGATCTGTCGGAACTTAACAGATCTGAGAAATCTGAATCTCTATTGTAATCTGTTGAATGGAAGTTCCGGCTCGTTCTTGATTTTCTGAGAAATCTGGTTAATTCAGATTTGGAACTTCAGGCTNCAGAATTGATGAAATCGACAAATTATAGGACCGAAATTGAAAGTGGTCAATATAGGGGTGGTTTTTTTGACTGTGGCCAACTTATAGGACCAATTTTGAAATTTTGCCGTGTTTCATCTAGTGATATATTATTATTATTGTGTATGATAAATTATTATGTTATATATGTCAAATTCGTGCAATAACAAAATTGAACATAATAATAATAATAATAATAATAATAATAATAATAATAATAATAATAATAATAATAACAATAATAATAATAATTTATGCGTGAGAATGGGGCAATTACTATTTTTTGGAATTAGTACAATATTCATTATTAGATAAATGACACGTGCATAAAAAGAAGTTTTTAAGATCGTCATGAAATAGCGTATTTAATCTAGATATTTTTTATTTAGTGATTTACTTTTTATTACTATCGAGTCCAATAACATTGTCATGTTATATACCTAAAACATTTTATTGAATTAACGAAATGAAATACAGAATGAAACATAATATATGTTGAGTATGGTGTAATTTTACCAAAGTGGAGGCGATGGAGCCAAACCCCAGCGTCTTGTAGCGACCGAAAAATGTGTCGGAAAGGAAGGCACCGACTAATGTGGCCAAATTTGTTGTGCCATTAAACACGTTGAGAAGGTTAGTCGCATTAATGCGCGACATGTTGAAGACTGTTGTTAGGTAGATCTGAAGATTGAAGAGAAGCCCAAGTGCTCCAAGCTTCTCAAAAGTCTCATTCCCTGTTTTTAGTTTTTATAATTATATATTCATCCAAAAAAGTTTCAAATCTACGTGAAAGTTGAATTGAAANAATATTGAATGGTCCAATATGTATGTAATTTTTTGTGTTACCTATAATATATGGCATGGCTTTGATTCCTCTGTAATTGATCTCAGGCTCTTCATCTTTCTCCACAACTGTGTTTTTTTGTGTAGCTTCCATAGTTGAACAGTAGCAGAAATTTAGGTGGTAAGAAGATGAAAATGAGATGAGAATTATCACTCACTTTGTAAGACTCATATAAATATGTGTGTGTGTCTTGGCCACATGTTTGAGTTGTCTCCTACCTTGATTTGTTTTGTTATGATTTAGGTGGGATTGGTAGATTTCATTTAAAATTGGTTTTTTATTTTCTAATAAAAATGGAGGGGCTGATTGAATTATTCATATATATATATATATAAAATTGCTGAGAGCTAGCCCAAAAAATATTAAATTCTCTCGACTTTCACAACCTTAATTTTTCAACTTTATTTTAATTTAAGGGATAAGTTGAAGATAAGAAACATTGAAAAAAAAGCTCGTTGTATTTTTATTTTTATTTTTATTTTTTTCCCCTTAAAAAAGGGAAATAAACTTGGTTTAATTGCTCAATGTTTGTTAGCCAGTCGTCTCTAATAATAAATAAAAGTATAGATATAGAATAGCATAGTGGTAGAATAATTAAATTAATTGAAAGTTAGTAATCTTATGTTATACTATTATACTTTATTATTAATATGCCCTATATATTAATTCAGAACGTGCTCAGCATAAGTGGCAGGCTCGCATGCTTCGGGATCCTATATGGCAAAATTACATGTTTCGTAGGCTTGGGTAGATTTTAAATTACTTTCGATCCAAAAATAATTAAGTCCGGATTATACATAAATATGTTGATTATTTATGGTCATGCTACATGTATTAATTGTATTTTAATATTATTTTTTATTATAACCGTTGATTTGTAAATGTATTTCAAAAGTTAATAACTTTTGTATTTTTTATCACTTTTACATATATAATATATCAAATTAATCATCTCTTGATGAGTTTCGATTTAACATCCATATTGTATGTATAAAAATAATAAATTATATTTATCTTTATAACAATAATAAAATTATTTTTTAATATTAATTAAAAAATAAAATTACTTATCAATTAATATATTTATATTTCAAGTAGTTATATGATATAAGTTATAAAAATTACTATAATATAACACATGTAAGTCACACAAGTAACAAGTGTCATTCTAAAATATATAATAATATATATTTTTTGTAAAAAAAGTAAATAAAATTTAAAATAATTTCTTTCATTAATCTTAAAATTTAAGAATAATCTTTTAACAAGCACCCGCGTAATACAGGGGGTGTTGTACTATGCGTTTAATTGCTAAATGTTTGTTAGCCAGTCTCTTATAAGAGTATGGAATTATAGATATAGAAAAGTATGCTGGTTGAATAATAAAACTAAATGAAATTTAGTAGGACCTTATGTAATAATATTACACTTTATTATTTTGCTTTTTGGTATAGTGCTGCGCACTTACTTGGGGCGTTATCTTTGTTCTATGCTCATGATTAGATATATAGATCAAATTATATCTAAGGTATGTTTGGTTCAATGGAGAAAAAGGGAAGGGAGGAATTTTCACGGAGGGGAGAGAAGGAAAAAGAATGTGATGTAAAATAATTTTATCTTGTTTGGAAGAATTTTGTTAGAGGAGAGTAGAAAGAAAATGGTAAACTTTGTTTGGTTAGACAATGAAAGGGGAGAAAAAATAATTTTAAAATGACAAATATATCCTTAATGATGTTAAAATGAAAATTCAAATATTATATATAATAAGAGTAAAATTGTAATTGAGTGTGTTAAAATTTTTCCTCCACTCCAAATTCTCCCACATTTAGAGGGGAGCAAAAATGGAGAGGGGAGGAAATTGGAAAAGGCTACATGTATATAATAAATCTACATAGAGATGTACATAACACTCACATGGAATGTGGTCCACTTGATTTTTTATTTTTGGTAAGTCCCACTCAATGTGAGTGTTATGTACACCCCTATGTACAATATTATGTACTTATAGCATTACCTGAGGGAATTCTAACTTAAAATTTTCTCTTCCCCCCTACTCAAATTTATGAACCAAACAAGAGAAAAGTAAAAAGATCCCTCCCCTCCCCTCTTCTCCTTTTCCTCCGAACCAAACAATACCTAAATGAATATCCACATGGAAAAAAAAATTATATTATAAATTTCTACGAATGCATCAGATTTTGTTTCTTAATTAAAGAAACCGTGTTCCTAAATCTCTTGGGAATTAATTTTTTGTAAAATGTGACCACGGTTAGACATGTATTTTCGTTAGTTAGACCATTGAAGCGATGTTGTATTATTTAGGATGTGATTTAGTGTTTTGAAGAAATTTTAGTAAGTAATAAGAAGAGAAATATAAACAACAATGATTGAATTTCAGTTTTGTTATGAAGCCAGCAGTTGACTCCATATTAATAATTTTATCAATATGGTATGATTTACTTGTTGTATATAAAAGGTTGGCTCCACTATGAAACCAACTGTTGGCTTCATAGAAAAACTGTTCATCTTTGAGCCTCGTTGATTAAAAAAAAAAAAAAACTTTAATAAG